GTCTTTATAAATTATGCAATCAACTCTAACAATGAACCTAAAACTAAAAACCGTAAAAATAATAATAATAATAATTTAATAACTAAAATTTAATTATTAAAAGGAGTCCCTCTAGGCAAGGTTCCGAAGGTACTGGCAGCGTTCCCCCTTTGAATAGCTAGACTAATTCTTTGTCCAAGGTAGCCAGCTCTTCGGTCTCCTGTGATGTCGACTAACCTTTTTGCTATTTCCTTATTTATTGTTTTCAATTTTAGGCCACATACTCTCAAAGTCAATTTTCGAATTGTATTCTAAACCGATATAGATTATTATGCACAAATCTATTATAGAGCTATAGATAGAGGTATAGGTAGATTCATTATTAAACAAATATACGTCATCATCATTATCATTATCATCATCATCACGCCCACAGTCGTTCACTGCTGGACATAGGCCTCCCTCAATCCACACCACTGAGTCCGGTCTTCGGTTCTCCTCATCCACCTAAATATATTATAATATAATAAATAGTTTAACGTCTTTGATTATATACAGATAGCAAATTAAAGTTGTTCAATCCTAAATTCGAGCGTATTACTGTATAAATAATCTTATCCGGTAAGTCAAGGCAGCAGGTGCTACAACTTGCGCGCACACATTTTTCACTTTGTACTAGATCATATATAGATAGATTGACATTGAGAAATTGACAGAAACCAGACTAACCATACCGATCAGTTATGACTTACCCTCTTTTTTTACAAGGAGATTAAACATGTCGGAAAGAAATGAAAAACATTCAGGTTGAAATGTGTTTTATTAATTTAACTAACTTCTTAATCTTCTTCTCATCTAAGATCGGCAAACACCGGCCATTTTATATTTACGAGAGCCCCCATAAATATCACAACGTGAATGTACAATTAATAGTTCTGGGCAGTATTCAAATCCTGAAAGGGTAGCTTCCATAAACCAGCCTATTTCTGCGTTGAGCAAGTCATGTATTCCATTTTAAAGTGTGAGTCCGCCTTTATACAAATAAAACTTATATTTAATGTCTCAAGGTCGATGACGGCATTCGGATTGTGATGCCTAAGGGGTTCTGGTAATCCCATAACATCAGGTGTGCTGTGAGCTCGTCCGACTATAGATTTAATTAAGAACCTTCTTGAAACAAAGCGGAATTGTGAAGTACGTGTATCAGTCTTGCTAGGCAACGACTTGGCTCTGCCCCTGGCATTGCTGAGGTCCTTGGGTGACTGTAACCACTCACCATCAGGTGGGTCGTACGTTCGTCTGCTTACAAGGGAAATTAAAAAAAAAATTGTAACGTCTTAAACTAATTTTACTTCAATAGTTAGAACAACAAAATATAGTTTACAATTAGAAACTTAATGAAAATATGTTAATCAGTAGTTAATAAGTAGACTATATATATAGTATAGATAATAAATATATGTCAATTTTTTATGTCGCGTTCATAAATTTTACACTAATATCATAGACCTATATAGTATTCATACTTCAGTGACTAATATACATATGTCACTAGACACTACGTCAAACCAGACACACATCTTCATTTGTAATTATCAAAAAAAAAAATATTAGTCAAATTATTCATAGTGGTCCATGTATTATTAACATTCAATGTAAACAATTTAAGATGTCAGATATACGAAATTATGTACTGGAAATTTATTACGTAATTTGTAGCTCGTATCACGTTTACAAATTTTGAACAATCTTCGTTCTCTTCGTAATCATATCACAAGCTTTAAGCAAAGTAAGTGTTTCATTAAAATTTCAAATATTTAATTTTCAAAAGATATTTGAGTGTCTTTTGTAGCCGCTTTTACGAGATAATAATTATAAACATGAAAAATGATGGCGAAATCTTATCGAATGGGATGTCAATCAACGAAGTAATTGCGACGCAGATCGTAGATAAAAGCATTACGACGCGGGTCATCGCATGAGCCTAGCGACTGGCAGGGCATAGACAAATTTACATTTTAATTGTAAACGTCATGTTTTTGGTGTCCTCTATTCTGGTGGATAGGCTTTAGCAACTGTCTGGAAAATCACGGCCTTGCTCGTGCTGTCCAATCATGTGTGTGACGAGCTCTTAATGGGTTATTGTAATTCGGGACGCACATTGACATCGCTCGTTTCTACGGGAACCTTGCAATAATTAGTGCTAACGCAGTATTAAAATCTTTCTTTCAGACCAATTGAAAACAAAAAGTATGTGCACATAAATACTAAAATACGCACATCTTTCAACAACATCTATTTCATTGTTATTGATCGAAGGCACCTCTCCGTCGGATAAATAACCAAAGCCATAGTTAAAAAGTAATAAGTGTTTCTTGGTTCCATTACACTAATTCAGGTTTTTCTGTAGTGCATTAATTTCCAGAGATGCCCGAATAAACAATACGAGATCATTTTGCAACTTATCTGTTCTGGAATCAACAGCTTTTCACATTAGTTTTCGAACGCATTAAAAATTTCTGTTTGAAAAGAGTCCTTAGGGTTTGGCTTAACTATGTCCCTAGCACTGTCCTGCTTGTAGGGCATAATAAAGCCCGCCCCCGTACTGGTTTTTCTGCCGAAAAATACCGATCCTACCAGTCTGAGGGGTGCGATAACGGCTTTTCAATAATTTAACACATCTCCCTCGTGTGTCAAGGCGGCAGCATTCACGGTGTGAAGTCCTTAGGATTCACTCAACACCTATTTCAAAGACATTTAAAACAAACCGAATTATAATCCAGGCCCGTATTTGTCCATCTATACCTAAAGGCAATTAAAAAAACCTGTGTGATGATAAATTAAATGTGATGATGGAAATGTTGCTAGTTTTTTAGTCTATTCAAATTATTACATTACATTACCGGAGCTATAGCTATCTCATCGTGCAACACTACCTTCTATTGTCTAGTTAGGCTACATGATGGAGAGAGTGTGGAGAAGGAAAAGGAAAGGAGAAGAGAAGCATCTTTGACGTAACAGAACAGAATAGAGATAGAGGTCCTAACACATACCGAGCTGTTAGTGTTTCGTACAACACAAGTGCCGCTTGCCGAAATTAGCTAAAAGTCGCTGTACAATATTCATTGCTGGGTACTGTACATAGGAGGTTTCGGGTTTTATTTTTATTTCGAGATTTTTTTCCTTGGTCCCGGTACGAATCTGTGAACATTTGGTACATCTTTGAATTGTTTTGTATTAAAATGTTGCTCAAAAGATTTGTCTTATCTTTAACCACCACAATATTCAAGCGTCAATCAGGGTCGATGTAGAATTTACCAATTTTACTTTGAATTACAAGTTATTTCTTTCTATTCCATAGTGTTGATAGAAACAAATTTCTACCATACTATTACTACCTACAAATCAGCCGCACGTTCACCTGTCTTTCAAAGCAATAAAAGAGGACGTGCAACAAACAGCCCTTGGAGTGTAACATATTATTAATACTTATCTTTTCAGAGAACCGCTCGTAATCGCAAAATAAAGGGAATCTTCCTATGTCGCTGTTTATATTTTGGAAAAACGCAATATTACTTTAAAAAATATTCGACTGTGTTCACGAAAAATCCAATCATAAAATGAACAAAACTCATTATATATTTTATTGAAGTACTGTTAGCAACATGACAGAATTTAATTAAGCGCAATATAGTAGATATAAATAGAATCTAATGATTAAATATAAAATTATGAAAACATTAAAAAATCATTTAAAAAACAGTTATTAAAAAATGAAAAACATAAAAATACTCTATAAAACTTTCTCAATTTCAACATTAACAATATTTTTTACCATTTATTTATTTTAGTCCGATTTCATTTCGATACTTTAGTCCATTTTGTCCATTTAGTCCATTTCCATAAACTCTTTTGAATAGCTATGGCCTGTGGCAGTATTATTTTTGCGAGTTTAAATAAACCCACAAAATCTATTCACCGTTTAATAGAATATCATAACATACTATTCATAGCCTTAAGGTAAGACTAGGACAAAAACTCATTTTAAATCGCTCTTAGAACCACGTCCACAAATCGACCATAATCACATAAAAAATCTAATCATTTCCCGGTTGGTGTTTATTAAGAACACTAAGACTCGCTTATAGCTACTAAACTAAAAAAACAGAAGAAAGCACTTGACAAACCGAGCAGAAAATGGTACTTCTATCTATCTTTGCCTATTTTTATATCGATATCTATGCCGGTAATTTGTTTAAAATTTATTCGTTCCCCGCCTGAATGAGAATTTATATATATTATAATATATAAGAATATAATTGATCACTGAATTTCTCGACGAATCGGCCAACACGAAATAATGAAAGCATACCGTAGAATTTTTGCACATTAGCGTGTCTCTAATCATTCAACGATACACCAATTTACCAATAGGTAACTACATAACTGCATAAATTTTAACGAACAACTTTTTATTTCAGTTTGCTGCCTGCTTATTATTCTACGTAATATGTAAAATGAAGTCTATATTTGAAACGTGCAAGAAGTAAAGATTACCTACAATATTTCTTCAAATTTACGGATATATAATAAAACTCAAAAATTAATAGTCAAGGTTTTAGAATCAACAATAGTACCTACAATTAATCTTCAGGAAAGCACATTTTTATACCCATACTTTACTTCGGAAACAAACTATTATTTACAATGCGTGGAAAATCTAGTATAAAAATATTATTTAGTGCAGACGGAATCAAGCAAGTGTACCAGAGCCACAGTATGTTGCTGTACACCGTTTTAACTTTCCTTATTGTTTTTGTTATTTATATTTCGACCAAAGACTGGAAAGGCTTTACTTGCCCAGAAGAAGTGGATTTAGGATCGATAGGAGTTTCTTCGCGTTCACGTCGTCGAAAACGAACTTATCTTCATAGACATTACTGAAGTATCTACCGCTTTAAATTTTCAACTTGAATAAACTTATTAATCCTTTAAAATAATCTTCTTTTATTGCTATTTAATTATGTTTTACTAAGATTAGTTCTCGCTATAGCAACTGACTCAAAATTTATCCCAAGATTGAGATCATCCAGCTCTCCCCTTACCGCTGTTAGATTGGCAAAACAAGCTTTAGTATTTCTTTTGATTTGAACACTAGTCGTCGCAAGTCCAAACAAGAAACCCCTCTGTATCAAAAGATCACCGGCCTTTACTGGACACCTAGCCAAATGTTTTGTACAAAACATCCTATGCTTGTTCACATTTTTGTACGGTATCTTAAAATATTTATCAGTTAGGGAGACAAGCTGCCTGGTTAACGTCCAACCAACGTTTGAAGACCTCCCAATAATCTGCACCTTTGATTTCCAATCCAAAGTCGATCCAATGCGAATAGGTACTGCGCATTCAGCCGTATTTTCCTGGCTCGATAATAGCACTAGCCTCTTGGATACTATGCCATCATGTTTGACATAATCTATAATTTCCAGAAGAAAACCTTTCTTGCAGCGAGAACTGAAAATAATTATATTTTAGTACGGGTATAAAATAATGAAAATATAATATATTGCAGCTTGCAAGTTGTATTGATAACAAGAATGTGTCCCCGCTTTCATTCGCACAAATCAGAGATTTTTAGACGAATTCATAACCCATATTATTATTATGCTAAACACCACAAAAGCCCCCAAACATAACGTGAACTTTGTTGACACCTTTATACATAAGACTGAAGTCTAAATTGCATTGGTACAACCCACTGTCCTATTCAAAGGGCAAGGGTGGAATTGCTTTGCAAGGATTTTCCCGTGCATTTCTAAGAGATTAGAAATTACGACGTAGAAAAATAGGCGTGGATATTTCTACTAGGGACGGATGATGGAGAATAGAGATATATATAACCGCTTCTTCCGGTTTTTAGCTAGACAAGCTTATCGTAGCCGGAGCAGATTAGATACAAAAAGTGTATATACCAAAAGGTTTCCTGAATAATTAATAGATAAATGTAATACAACAGATTTGGAGTGTACGTCGATACTATCAAAAATACTGAATACTAGAAATCGAAGAACTATTGTCCATCCGTTCTTACTTACTTAGCATTGCTTCCCATGTAGGCCAAAATCGGACCGTTTTGTACGCAAACTCCACTTGCTAAGACAGAAGTCTGGCTAACCACCGCTCCGACGCATATTAATTTCTTCGACGATAACGAATGTATTCTTGCGACAAATGGATACTCATTTAATTTGATTCTAAAGCAGTTTATTTCACTGTTTAAGTTCGTAGCAGAATTGAAGCTTCGATAATGCATTACGAAGTTATTAATCACACAGGCCATAGTAGCTGTAAATATTGCAATTAATAAAGCTACAAGACAAACTTTGCTCTTTATTGAGCGATCGTCCCATGGTCTGTTAATGAAATTATATTTATATTCAGGCTCCAAATCGTTATCGTTTTCAATAACTTTATTATCATCAATAATTTCCTCCATGTTAAAAGAACATTCTTCAATTTAAAATCTATTAGGCACGCGTCATCATTGAAAATGTAAATTCAGCTTGTATCACATGTAGCACATGTACATGTCTTGTTAATTTATTTACTTACTCGACCTAAGAGGTGCATTACGTAATGTACGAGAATCGGGATAGGGTGAAAATATAGATATTTGTTTACATAAAATATCTCTTGAAAGAAAAAAAGCATCGTTCGATACGTTATCACCAAAAGTATGTCGACAATAGTTTAAGAATAAATAATAGTTTTAAACCGTATGTATAATAGTAACAGCTCTAAATAATAAACGTACAGCTTTAAATAAATAAATAAACACGCCTTTGTATATACAAACTAAAACGAAGAAGCGTGCGTTGTTTTCTACTGTAATTTGAAAATATTAATAGCAAAAACAGAACAACACCAAATGTAACAAATAGTTCATAGCTGTTTAGATAAGCACACTTCTTACAGACAGATTCGTCATTCGCGATAGTAATTTAAATTACTCTTACAGGTAATTAAATGCTCATAATCTTTAGATCGGATTAAAACATTACGAAAAAGATAGAAATTTATAAAATTATTGCATTGTCGTACATTTGTAAAACTAGGAGCAGCCATAGGTATCTTAGTAACTTTACTTAACTTAAGTTAGGCGAGTCAAGGTGGGTGGCGCATTTACGTTGTAAATGTCTATGGGCTCCAGTAACCACTTAACACCAGGTGGGCTGTGAGCTCGTCCACCCATCTAAGCACTAAAAAAAATCCTAACTCCCGAGATATTTTGAAACGAAACCAAACCCATAACATCAGCCTGCTGAGTTTCTCTCCTGATCTCCGCAGCGAATCGCGATGTCGATCCGGTAGTAGATACATTCGCGAAGCAGCTGCCCTTGAGCTGATGCGTCTCCTTCATGGGCGCTCGGACAGCTGTTAGCATACTCCACCCCTCTCGGCTACGCCTGTGCTCGCACATACCTGTACTGATGAAACTGGCAAGATCTCGAGTCACCAGTAACCTTAAAAAAAACAAAATTGATCTCACATAAATTAAGTTTAATTCATTTTGCGCCATTTTACATTTCATTGAGCTTATTATGTCTGATAATAATCGAGGGTTTAGTTACAATTAACGCTAGTGTTAAAAACATAATTAAAAGCCGATTGCTTCATTAAATGGGGAAGTAAACGGAAAATTTAGTTTAAGGTTCATTGTAGCTGGATGCTTAAGTGAACGAAGAATACAAAATCTTTAAAAAAAATTACGATTTTTTGGCGAGAATGCAAGGAGCTAATTTTTTATTTTGTTAATTTAGTATTGCTTCAGGTTTAAATATGTCATAGCGGTGGTTTATTAACTGTTTAATATCTGTGAAATTGCACAAATGTGGGACACTGAAACAAAGCCGCAGGAAGTAGCATCTCGTAATCTTCCAAAAAGTTCACCATAAAGTGTTAGTAAATAACCAGCATTTTACTGAGACTATATTTCATCCCAAATAATCTAGTTTCGTTTAATTCCATCTCAAATTATTAACGACTTAAATACGAAATTCAGTTCATTTCGGTTCATAAAAATGTTTCACAAAACAGAACATACATAAAATTTGGGTGTATGATATGATATTTATGCCTTTCCAGTTGGAAAAAAGGAATTACTACAACAAAAAATTACTTGTTTGACATTTTAACCATTTGACACTTGACAATTAAAGTTAAATATCACAACATACAACACCAAAACATAACCTCCAAGATTGCAATGTATAATGTAACCATTGATGTATTATCATAATGTATAGTATATATCAATGAATGTAACTAATGAAAATATTGATGAAAAAAGGATAGATTGTTAAATAAACACAACGACAAACGAAAATGCCAACGATAATTTTGCTTGATGTGTCTTTATCGATGTCAAGACCAGTCATCAGTTCGGATTCAATTGAAAATCACACAAGATCTTCAATAGCTGTCGCGGCAATAAATTCATTTTTAGATTACTTAAGCGTTCATGCCAAATTAGAGTACGTTGCGTTAGTGTCGTTTTCATCAGTTCACGATGGTAAGCTTTTATGTTCATACAACACCATCATTCACACGTCCCAGTTTAAGACAGAAACCTTTAAACATACATACATACCGTATCATTCATAACCACAATAATCCATATGCATACTTTTTCTTCCTCTATCCCGTAATGCATACATGTTATACTACTAACGTATTTTAGTTAGACTATATTTACAATTCAACTTCATTCATTTCAAATTAACTTTCGTGTTCCATCACTCTTCCTTTCCTAGAAACTAGAATCCATTTGAATTATTCTTCTTTCTTGAAGTTGCTAATAATATTTAAAAAAATTATTATGATTTTTTTTAAATTTCAATAAAGAATTTTCAATAAATTACAGTTGCTGTACCATTCACTAGAGACTTTGACAGTATTAGAACTAAACTGCCACAGATAGAAGAAGGTGACAAAACATGTATTGACTCAGCATTACTAGGAGTGAATCAGCTCGTGATGAATGAATGGGGACACCAAACACCTATACAAATTATTTTGGTATTATTTTACTGTAACATTAATATACATAAGCTATGTTAGCTATGAGCAGATGCATTAAACCATGTTCATTTTTCTCATATCAAAAATCATTTCTGAGTTTCAACAAAACAACAGCAGCTACAGGATAATTTAGTTTCACCATGAAATTGTAAATCCTCAAAACAGACTCAATAATGCTTATCATTTAATTATTTTGAAACGGCCACTAAAAGAATTTATTAAAACAATATTTCATATAAGCAAAAGGATATTCATTAAAAAGTAAAGCTTTTAAGATCAAATTTCAGATCATTATATATAATCAAGATCTGAATTTTGATCCATTTGGTTATATGACATTTCAATACAAAACAATTTGTGCCATATAGTTAATTTTATTAGTTTAATGTTAAAAATGTAACAACATAAATGGACAAATATATGTTTTATTTTAAATCTACAGATAACTGATGGAAGCAGTGGAGTTGGTGCTATTGGAAGGAACAGAATAATTCAATCATTACCTCTACCTACATTATATCCTGTCAAAATACATATATTACCGATAGTATCACCACATGATCCCTGTTTACAACATGGTAAATTTAAAAAATTAGCATAACTTCAAAAACTCTTTGGTTTAATTTTTTTTAATCAGCCATGTTGAAAGTTCTGTGTCAGAGAAAGTAATGGTTATCTTACATAATCCTATCATGTAAATTGAAATTCATGGCTGCTTTAAATAAATACACACAGACTTATCATATAGTTTGTCCAACTACCAACTATTTTAATTACTATTTCAGTTATTACGTGATGTTCAACTTACCAAAACTTATTTTTACTTAGTTTCTAACTCTAGATTTCTTAATACACAGCAGTTATGTATTCCAGCTTAAGTTGTGGAACAGTATTTATACAATAAATTTGAAACTGTCTTAACTCAAAGTCCTGTTTTAAAGAAGGTTGTTGTTAACATTCTTACTATGGGATTGGGTAACCGCATATAACACCTGTAAGCTAATTAACACATTAAGACTCAATTAAATGAAAAGGCTTATGAATGATCAATCAATTAACGAAAACACAAAATTCAACCATTGTAAAAATCCTATTGATTCTGTCGAAGAGGTTGTTCTTTTTTTGAAAACACCAAGATTTGGCATGAATGACGAAAACAACCTCATCTAAATTAAGGATAAAGAAATACATAACAATTAAATGTATATTAATTACAGCTATGCCTTTATATCAGAAAATTATTGATCAGGCTACTGTCACTGCAAACAATTCCAATGGAACTATTTCCCGTGGCTCCATATACTGTCCAGAACAACTCTCAGTGTCTAGTGTAAGTATTGACACTAATGCTATTTAATAAATTAATGAATTCAGACCATTAACTTAGGCAACAAAACTAATCCAGAAAATGAAAACATAACCTAACTTATTCTAACCAAAAAGGAGGCACAGAGAACCGTTCAATGTATATTTAATGTTCAGGTGATAGCTGCTATGACTCGTCTATGTGAGCAGCACTACCAAGAGTTCTGGTGTTCTCTCAAATGTGGTCAACTAGAAGCCCGCGTTCAGTTGTTCCCTGCACCTCAAACTGTCTCGCATGAAAGCCTAACAGCCACATACACTCTATCCAATCAGTTGCATATCATTGGATTTGTACAGCAACAAGACCTCGGTATGTGAAAGTAGTTTTTTATGAAGCTCTAATATTAATAGTATATAGTAATTTTCGACATTAATATCTTTACAGGCACACCTATTGCCATAAGCAAACATCTTGTGATACCGCAAGCCCAAATAAATAATAATACCTCTGGTAGAGAAAACTACGGATCTAAAACTCCCACTAAGGCATGTTTAAATCAAAATTATTTTTATTACTGAAACCACAATCAGGAAGATATTAAAGCTTTATTTTGCAGGATGGATCTACTACTGAAAATATTACGACAGAGGAAGAAATGTCAGATCCCAGCAAGATTCCCAATTTTTGCGTTTTACTACATGGAGCTCTTAAGGTAAATGAAAAAATATATATATACAAGATAGATAGATAGTAAGTCATATCGAAGGGAAAATACCACGTTGTCTGTGATTTACCCGTTCGTCAAATCGATAGCATCACAAAGCAACATGCCTATACCTGAAGGACTAAAGAATATTGAAGATAAAGGCATGGAGATTTTTGTTTATTGCTGACATAGGTGAAGTAGCTTACAGCCCACCAGTGGTCACTGGAGCTCATAGACATCTACAACGTAAATGCCGCCATCCACCTTGAGATATGAATTCTAAGGTCTCAGTATAGTTACAATGGCTGCCCCACCCTTCAACCCGAAACGCATTACTGCTTCACGGCAGAAATAGGTAGGGTGGTGGTACCTACCCGTGCGGACTCACAAGAGGCCCTACCACCAGTAATTACACAAATTATAATTTTGCGGATGTGTTTTTTATTACACGATGTTATTCCTTCATCGTGAAAGTCAATCGGGGAAATATTAAGTACGTATTTTATTAGAAAAATTGGTACTCGCCTGCGTCACTAGATACGAATGCAGTGAACGTCTTATCATTTAGGCCACGACGACTTGGAATTGTGCAAAGGTTTGTCAGAGCACAGTATTGAAACTAAACACAATCTTCAAAAATGAAGATACTAAAGAAGAAAAAGTAATGAAAGAACTTAAAGATAATTGGTATTGTCGTTTATCAAGATTAAATTGTTTTAGGTGGAAGGTATGTCGGCAATAATACTGCTTGGGACGGAATGGTGGGGAACACTTTCCGCGTGGTGTGAAGCATCCAGAGCACGGCGCTCCTGTTTGCTCCTAAGTGTCCTGAAACCAGGAGTCTCTGCTGCACCTTGGCTCGGCCCTCTTGACCAACTGGGACCACCTGAAGAAGGAAGTGCGCCAAGTAATCCCATGAAACACATTATTAAATTGTGACTTTTAATGATACTGATGCTAAAAATTACCAATTGTGCTTCGCGCAGTTTTGTTTACTACATAATACATACATAAATTAAATTTACATAAACTTAAATATTCCCTGTGATCACAATTTGAATGTAAATAAAAAAACTAAAAAACCATATTAACTGATTGAGTTCGAAATTAAATTATTTCTTAAACTTTAGTTCTTTATGTAGTCTGAGTAATATCCATTGTTAAGTTTTAACTCAAAAAACTTTTTTTAGCTGAAGTATTTCCTGTCCGAGCTTGGCGCTCTTATAGTGGCGGTGGAGGATCTGGTAGCACTTGGGCAAGACCGCACGCACTACTTGCTGACGTACAAAAAGTTTTACGCCATGCACGTAAACTTCCAGATAAAACGCAACATCTTTACAAGGTTTGATGAGGCTTTTATTATAATGTCTCTATCTCTCCCACTCCCACTCCCATTTACAGTGATTCGTAAAATTCAAATTATTATTTTGCAGGAACTAAATCGGCTGCGACGTTCAGCGATATCTCTCGGTTTTTCTGAACTTCTGACGTGCGTGAGTACTGCTTTAGAGAGGGAGTGTTCTGCATTGCCATCTAATGCACCACCTGAATGCGCATTACAGTTGGCACATGCTATTGCTGCGCTACGGGATCCAAGAACAGCCTTCGATATCAAACACACCTTACAACCAATTGCCGCTAACATCACGTTAACGTCGATGTCCCATTGATGTCATAGTTGAGAATAAATATTTTTTTGGCCGAAAACCGACTAATTTGTTTTTATTAAAGGGGCCTAAGATTTGTAGTATCTCGGTCATTGATTAGTGATTAGGCGTTTGGATAAGAAAATAGGGAAGAATGCATTTAACAAGAATTTGACTAAAAACGATTTATTCAATTTATCGGATGTGAGTTTGTTTTCCATTCCATTCTCACCTAAGAGCATGCTAATATTCGTATCTCTAATTGCAAAGTATTTAATTTTAACTGTTTTTCTCTTGGTAAACACTTATTTTATTGTTTGATGTTGTACGTTTCTTCTCGGGTTGCACAAAATGTTCATTGAACTCTCGGTAAACCTTTACCATTTAATGAGAAGCTATTTCGTTTCATCTCATGTTAGATTTAGTTGATACGGTAGTTAGTATTATGTCATCTCACTTTATTCCAAATCATAATCGACTTCAATTTATTTCGATCCAGGTTACTCTTCTTATATAAAACAACAGGCTTTGTATCAAAAAATTTGGCTTTATGGGCTACGTTTCTATTGCTTGTCCAACAATGGACGAAGCAGGTGTCTATGCTGCAAAGGATGAAATGAAGTCTATTGAAGTATAATTTTGTTATATAAGGGGTATTTCAGGAAGAAATTATAAAGGACTTGGCTTCAGCCTTAATGAATTTTTTATTTCAGGATATAATATAAATCATATAAGACCTGGCTTCGGCTTTTTTGAAAATGTATTTCAGACATTATATAGAACAGACAAGGGTATGGGCTTAGATCCCCTTGCCTTTCCTAAGAAGGAAAAATTGTCCAAAAAAAATATATGGGGCCGAATCAAACAAAAACAAAAAGCAAAGCAGGTACAATTTAGTAATTCAAACAGTAGAATTATGTTATGTACTTACATAAATGATTTGTTTTATAGTTTTATATACGCCTTCGAAAGATAAAAATGATATGAATGAATTGAAACATATTAAAAAATACAAAACATTACAATGCAACAAAAAGTCCAAGAAGCAACATAGCGCCGGCATAACAAGATTTAATGTTTAATTAATATCATAATTCAAAATTTAGAAGGATTGTAGACACCCAGGAACTTAAATCATGTAATAAAATGTCACAATTTCCTAATCAAACATTATTTAAGTTATGCATTATTATTTGTGCAGCCACTTTGCCTTTCTTATTTACAATAAATGGTGATTTTGTTTTTGACGATTCGGTCGCAATTACTAAAAACAAAGATGTCACCTCTAAGTCCTGGTTGGATTGCTTTTATAATGATTTTTGGGGGACAGAAATAAAAAGTGACCTAAGTCACAAATCATATAGGCCTTTGACCATTCTGACGTTCAGGTACTCAAACATATTTTTGTGAATATTTTATCTAAATCAACAAACATTACTGACGCATTAACACTTGATTTACAGGATAAACTATTTTATGAGTGGTGAAAGGTTGATAGCCATTCATTTTAAGATCACAAACTTAATATGCCACATATGGGGATGTATTGTTTTATGGATATTTTTGAGAACTGTTTTAAATATTCAAAATGAAGGATTTTATGAAACTTCATTTTTGACAACATTATTGTTTGCTGTACACCCCATACACGTAGAAGCAGTAAGTGGCATAGTAGGACGAGCTGATGTCATGGCTTCAAATATTTTTCTTCTTGCATTTCTTGTGTATCATTTCTCACAATCAAAATCTAAATCAATTTGGAAACACTTAATTCTGTTGACAACAATAATCCTCTCAGGAATATCTATGCTGTTTAAAGAAAATGGGATTACTGTTTTGGTAAGAAGTTTTTCCTTGTTTCAGTACTCAAATGAAACCAAAAGTGGTCCACTAGATAAAAAGTGGTCACTGCTGTCCATCAGCTCTAATATATTCGAAGTACATACATATTAAAAGATTTAAATGAAATATATATTGAATTACTATTTAATTGAACTATTACTTAAAATTATTTTCAGGGATTTTGTTTGGTGTATGAAATTATGAATAAGATGAAATTTATGAAATTAAAAAAATCAACAACTGGTAATTTTGTCATAAATAACAGATTTGTAAATCTGGAATTAGATTCAATACTTAGAATACTTATTATCCTAAGTGGAGCAATTTTACTATTATCGGGAAGGTGGCTTATAATGGGAGGATCTTATCCAGAATTCAAACCAGTTGATAACCCTGCAGCTTTTGTTGAAAATTATTACACAAGGGTAAAAGTTTATTATTTCACTCTTTTTTAAACAGCAGCATTTGTTATCCTTACCTAATGACCACAACTATCAGATATTAACTTTTTTATTATAAAGATGTAAGGTAGTTACAAGAACCCATAAATATTACAATGTGAATGCTACTATCTACTATGAGATATAAAATTTAACTTTTACGTGTACAATTCAACCTCATCAATTATCTCAATAGAAAAAATATAATCATTGTTTTACCCTTCAAGCTCGAAAGTATGACTTTCTTAAAAATAGGTGGATCTTGATGTGTGGGTTCAGAATATACCAACAAAACTGTGCTGCTGTTCCATAAATGCTATTTAGTAATTATAATTCCAAATATAATCCAAATGCGAAATAAAACAAATTGTTATTAGTACTATATAGTATTTTACACCCAGCTAAGGTAGAATTCTAGCTGATAATTTATTTCCATTAATTTTAGGTAAAAACATATAATTATATTTATTTCTTGAATATCTTGCTGCTGATCTGGCCCCATTGGTTATGCTATGACTGGTCTATGGGCTGCATTCCTTTACTTGAAAATAATATGGACTTTAGGACCATATTCATATTCATTATGTACATTTATGGAGGACTGTTAATTAAAAGTTTGTTCAATAACAAAAATCATAGTACAACAAAAAGGTATTTTACTATTTTTTTGTAATATTTTGACGACATTTTGAATATACAAGGTGCAAACAACGCATTCCCAGAATGAAAACATGATAGTTTCCCAATTTAAGATAAAGAAAAAAAATCACAATATGCTAACCTAATCATGAATACTTCTCATTATGTGCATGGTAAAGTGTATATTTATATTACAAATATGTTTTATATGTCAAATTCTTACCACGTTTTTTTATTTATTTATTGCAGATGGGTGGACGAGCTCACAGCCCACCTGGTGTTAAGTGGTTACTCGAGCCCATAGACATCTACAACGTACATGCGCCACCCACCTTGAGATATAAGTTCTAAGATCTCAGTATAGTTACAACAGCTGCCCCACCCTTCAAACCGAAACGCATTACTGCTTCACGGCAGAAATAGGCAAGGCGGTGGTACCTACCCGCGCGGACTCACAAGAGGTCCTACCACCAGTTTTATTTTATGGAGCGCCCAATATTTTTGAGCTGGTGCTATGTTATTCACATTGTTAGTTTATTAGTAACTTATTTAACACAGCTTTCTCCTCTGCCTATTGAAGCCAAAAATGTATATATATAATGGTTGGATAGGATATAATTAAGTATGTATATAAAAAATTGTGATTGAATTTAGATTAGTAGTGCCTCAAAATGTAGCAGTATTATTTTAACCATTTGCCAATAGGACTGATACATATCTTTTTCTTGTTGCACAAAAATAACGTCAATAAAGAATAGAATAATAGAAATAACTTGCAGTAGGCATATTTGAGTCGTCTATTATCAAAGGTGGCAATCTGTGCATTTGGACAAAAATATGTTATTGATATGGCGATACAAATTGATTTGAATATAATCGTCTCCTTCAAAGAATACGGTTCAAAACCTGCATTAAATAAAGGTTAATACTTAACCTGTTATTTATCTAAGATGTCGTTCAGAAGAGTTTTATGACTGCCAATGGAATACAAAGTCAATAATTCGTTTTTCTGATTTACCAATAATTGTCCAAAAGTCACATTGCCGGCTTTGATAATAGTCGACTCATNGAATATAATCGTCTCCTTCAAAGAATACGGTTCAAAACCTGCATTAAATAAAGGTTAATACTTAACCTGTTATTTATCTAAGATGTCGTTCAGAAGAGTTTTATGACTGCCAATGGAATACAAAGTCAATAATTCGTTTTTCTGATTTACCAATAATTGTCCAAAAGTCACATTGCCGGCTTTGATAATAGTCGACTCATTTATAAACCATAGGATAACTACTAAACAATAGTAATTTGTTTCAGATCATTGATTATTGGTGTATCTCTAATGATATTGCCTTTTCTGCCAGCAGCAAATATTGTACGCCCAGTTGGTTTTGTTATTGCTGAGAGAATTCTCTACATATCTTCATCCGGATATTGTTTACTTATTGTTATTGGATATAAAAAAATCTGTAAAAAGGTGAACAGTGTAAAATGTAAGGTTTGTATTTACCTATACACAAGCAAAGCAAAAACACAAATAGAATGTTTTAACATTGTTCTCTATAGATTGACAGTAAACAATGGGGTTGTTTCTGATTATTATGTTTCTATTTATTTAAATTTAGGAGCCCATATTTGAAAACAATTTACAAAAACTAGTCTCTATTGCCACCCAAAGTTGTATTGAAGCAGGGATATTTTTCAGATTAACGTGTGCCTTAAGACCACATTGATTTTTCACATACAAGGGCAAAGGGCTGCCAAGCTATAAACTTATTTTCTCGCTTAGTCCGAATTATCATATAAAAATGTAACTCAATTTTTATGCGAACTTATTATGATAATGATTGTTACAGGTCTTATCTGCAATGTTTTTATTTCTGCTAATAATTTATGGAATGAGAAGTTTCCAAAGGTCAGGTGACTGGCAGAATGAATATAAACTATTTACGAGTGGGCTTTCGGTGTGTCCTCTGAATGCTAAAATACACTATAATGTCGCCAAAGTGGCTGATAGTGAGCAACATATAGAATGGGCTCTAATGGAATACAAAGAATCAATCAGGTAATAATGAAGTATTGTCAATTTTATTTGGAATATAAATTTAATCTGTCACTAGATAATTTAGTACTCCATAAAGATTTTACTAAAGTACCTACTTGACAAATTGTTCTAAATGCGATTTAAAATATTGGCTGCAAAAAATTCACGGAGTTGTAAGAAATTATTTCGCTCTATGACCATACTTCTTTACTTCCTTACGTCTTGAGAAACTCACATCGAAATCCAAATCACATCGCTACCGATCAAACGTGAATGCAGCAAGACTAAAAATGATGGTGTCTTATTTAAATGAATGTAAATATTGAGATGTCAGTGATTATAATCGAATTGTGACCATTGGGGAACAGTCTTTTTAATGATTAATCTAAAATCAATGGTCCTCCAGACAAAAACCAAACCAAATCAAACAAAGAACCCAACTGTCACAAGACAAAATTGACAAAAAACCAATATCTTATTTTAACCCTTTGATTGCCATGTAGGTCACTAATGCCTTACGTGGCGCACTGAAGTAATTATATCCATTTCTGTTACTAAGCGTCTGGATTGCCTTCTTTTGTTTATAATGTATGTTTTAATATTTTATGTCTCTTAGATATAAACTAGCTTTAGCCCGCGACTCTGTCCGCGTGGAATACTTTGGCATAACGCTAAATTTTACCTCCACTTCATTTACGTAGAAAGTGAAAATATTTTTGAATTATAGAATGTTAAGGAGCTATTCAAACCCCTATTTTGAAACATTCTTTATTGGCGCTCCACTTGTATTGATCTTATATTGATGTTAAATAGCCTATAGCCTTCCTCAACAAATGGGCTATCTAACACTGAAAGAATTTTTCAAATCGGACCAGTATTTCCGGAGATTAGCGCGTTCAAACAAACTCTTCAGCTTTATAATATTAGTATAGATTCCTTCTCAGTAACAGAAATCGACATAATTGCTTCAGTGCGCCACGTAGGGCACCGGTGAACTACATGGCAGTCAAGGTGTTAAATAAATTTGAAAACAATGAATTTCGAAAAAGGCTGATTTAAAAAAATTAGACAAAGTATATGTTGGAAATGTAACAGATAAAATGCAGTTTACTGAAAAAAAAAAAACTGTATTGAGAATTCTACTCACTAAAAACCAAGACTTGTTGCCTTATGGTTAAGTAAGATGCATCGATATTTAGTATTCTATAAGCAGTAATCAATTGGTGCCGACTAATATAAAGAAATCAAACGACATTATAATTACATGTATTTAAAAACTTTTAGATTGAATCCTACGTACTACCAGGCGATGAATAATCTAGGGAATCTACTAAAGACTCTAAAACGGTTCGACGAAGCAGAATATTACCTACGAGAAGCAATTAAACAGAAGTAAGTAACGCGTAGAAAAATTAATACCTTAAAAAAAAAAAGTTAAGACGAGTTTTCCGGAAGTTGTAAATATTTCGTGGTCACGGACAGCTGAAAACCTTACAGCCCACTGAGTTTCTCGCCGAATCGTCTCAGTGGGTCGCGTTTCCGTTCCGGTGGTAGATTCTGCAAAGCACTGCTCTTGCTAGGGCCAGTGTTAGAAACACCTCCGGTTTGAGCGCCGTGAGCTCACCTACAGAGCAGTGCTTCGCAGAATCTACCACCAGATTAGAAACGCGACCCATTGAGAAGATCCGGCGAGAAAATCAGTGGGCTGTGTCTATGGATTAATTTACTCGTCGAGCTCTTGGTCGGAAACGACGGGTTCGGCGAGAACGGTGACCGTGCCAAACTGTAATAATATATTCATAATAGAAATTATTCATAATAGAATCATAATAGAAAGAAAATCTTTTCTACTGGGAGGGCTGTACTCTTTAAGTTATCGCGTCCCGGGCGCGAGCTAACCTCGCTACGCCACTGCTTGCTGTACTCTTTAATGTGCAACATATTTGATACATACTGTATTGAAAGACTGAGAGTAGTGCCGCGATAACATAATCCATGCTTAACTTAGTAAATCAATTCGTTACCTATTCTTTTTCTTAATATTAGGATAGTCTAGCAATATTTTAGCTTCGACAATCTTTGACACCCCGTATATGTGTAACAAAGCGAAACGACGCGTTCACAGGAATGACTACCCTGCGACGTGGATGAATCTAGGAATTGTATTAGCTAATAAAAAACGATACCGCGAATCGGAGATGGCCTACAAAACCGCTATACAACACAGAAGAAAATATCCGGACTGTTATTATAACCTGGGAAACTTGGTATGTCGTAATGAAGTGATTTGATTTAGTAGTAACCGGCAAACATCGTGAGCAAATGACCTTGACTGCGCAGAACCGAATTTTAGATCACTTTGGTGGTGAGGGTGAGGCGCGACGGCAGGGGAAATCGTATCGAGCGCGTTATTGGTAGATCAGTCGAACCTTGCGTCCCGCACCGCGCCCTCATTCCGCTTGCTCCCAAAAGTACGCTTGCGTACAGTGAAAAGTCTATCGTTATTAATCGTTAAGTTATTTGTTATAATTGCTTGTGGACTTTGTTGCCATTGCTATTTGTTGAGTGTTTGTTGATTTTTTATAAAACATACACTATGCCGTGACAAACTGGTGTAGTACTTAAAAGAAAGGGTAGAAAATTTGTGTACGACGTATATTGCTTCATTATAAAACAGGGGAAGAATGATATGGAAAAATTAAAACAGACTTCGGAAGCAACAAAAACATCAGTGAGTACTGTTAGGTGCATTATTAACGAAGCTAAAGGCTCTGGCTTGCTCGCCGTGTTTCGGACTCCGGGTAAGAAAAGATCAGGGAAGAAGAAAGTTACCGGAATGGATAGTTTCGTTCAATCTGTAATAAAAAGATGTAATCATAATAACTACATAACAAGCAGCGAAACTCCGTACCGTAGAAAGGCTTCGAAAAATTTAAAGAAGATATAAATTTTAATGGCTCGGAATGAAGCTTACGACGAATTATGAAAGAGCTAGGCTTCAGATGGAAAAAAAGAACAGAAAATAATCGGAAGCTGGTAAATGAAAAAAGTAACATTCGATTACTACGAATCGAATATCTTCAAAAAATAATTAATTATAGACAAAAAAGAAGACCGAATCGACCGAGTTGTAAACTACGCCGATGAGCCCTATGTCGACTCATCACGATGATAGCGACTCGGGTGATGAAAACAGTGATGATGATGATGGTCAAGATTATGATAACGAAAAAAAAATTACAAATACCAGCTTCGCTTTAACTGAACCAAGACCTGGCAACAGCTCTAGTTTTGACTTAATAGAAGGAATATCTATTTTACCCCAAGATTAAATTATTACAATTATTAACCTATATTTTTTGTTGATGTTCTAATAAATATATAAATAAATACATATGTTGATTTTAATAATTTAATTGCATTATGACGCAGAGTAAATAATGTTTTTGCACGTGAGTGTACCATGCGCAAACTTACCCCCACCACGTCAACAAATTCTCAAGAAGTTTGCCGGCTATTATACTAGCTTTTGACCGCAACTTTGTCCGCGTGGAATAGTTCACAAATAATGGTATATTTTATAACAAATCTGGTCAGCATAAAAAACGTTAAGTGAGCCAACCTTAACATATAGACATATGCTGTAGCGGACCTTTTTTAGATCTTTTAAAGTTTCTGCAGCGGATGCAGCGGAAGCTCTCAAAAGGAAAAAAAACCCCGATTTTGAAACATTATTTATTGGTGCCCCGCCTGTATTGGTCTTAGCGTGATGTTATATAGCCCATAGCCTTCCTCGATAAATGGGCTATCTAACACTGAAAGAATTCCAATTTTCAAATCGGACCAGTAGTTCCTGAGATTAGCGCTTTCAAACAAACTCTTCAGCTTTATAATATTAGTAGTATAGACTCAAATGTTTTTGTTATTAAATCAAATCTCTTTTTTAGTATTTAGAGCTGAACGACACAAACGCTGCGTCTGAATGTTGGTTACAGGCCATAAGTTTAAACTCTAAACACAATTTGGCTTGGACTAATTTACTTGCGCTACTTGATAATACAGGTAAATGTGACAAAACGGCTCTGACTAAATTTCAATGTTTTTTTTTAATTTTTTTGTTGATAAAGGTAAATGTGACGAACGGTTTGGACTAAATTTTAAAGTAATAGCTTAAATATTAGAACTGATCATTAAATGTTGTTAATGCTTAAGCGTGTCTTGACTAAAATGAGGGGACTGAGAAATCAGAATAACATCCATATTGTTAATCAAATATTATAGTTGAGAAACAACAATAAAATTTTATTATCTTTATATTCTAGGACAAACTGACAAGGCTCTAAAAATCATTCCGCGTGCACTCAACGAATTACCGGATTCGGGATCAGTAAATTTCGCTGTTGCAAATATTTACGGAAAAATTGAACTTTATGTGCAAGCTGAAAAGTATTTCAAGATCGCAATTAAATTGTTCGGCAAAAGAGTCCAAGCTCTTCATTTCTCAAATCTAGGTAAGATCTTAGTTGTAACAATGTAGGTACATTCTTCTTCTTCTCAGTCGTGGCACTCTTGACAGAGTGGTCGTGATCGTCATGTAGTGTTGGAAGGGGCAGACTTGATGCGTCTCACGATGTCGCGCCATCTCTCCCTGCTCGAGGCCATTCTACTGCACTCATTTAAGGGACCTCCCACTGCAGTTTTAATTTGGCAGCGGCTTGGCTCCGCCCCGGCATTGCTGACGTCCATGAGCGACGGTGACCACTTACCATCAGCTGAGCCGTATGCTCGTCTGCTTACAAAGGCAATAAAAAAAACTGAATTGAAAGAAAAATTACGTATTCAAACTCGATCCTAAAACCGCCTAGACGATTGTCTAAATAAATGATAAAGAGGTGGTTTGCTAAATTTGTTTTTGTACTGTGTTCTAGGTGTTTTGTACCACCGATGGAAGAAATATAGTTTAGCCAAAGAAATGTATAGTAAAGCTATCGAATTAGATCCATTATTTACAAGCGCACAGAAAAATCTGAAGACTCTAAAGAGACTAAACTAAATCGATTTAATAAATCCCTTGCAAGATAGGTACTTTAATTAATAACTAGAGGTCCCGCAGTAGTCTAAATTCGACAATAATTAATTGGAATTGTAGGATAAGTTTGTACACTATCATGATTGTATTTTATACTTCTTTAATCACAAATTTCGCCAAGGCTACACTATAAAAAAATATTAATAAAGACAAACAATATTTAATCTATTCTCAATTTGATCACAAACGTCAAGAACAAAAGTTTGACAATAAATAGTATGCATGCGTGTGTGCGTCAAATACATGGTATGTAGTGTGTGTAATGTTTTCTTTATTGATTTAATGTATCTTTTATGCATTATTTAAAAAATATATTAGCTTTGTGCACTTCTTCTCTATATTCTCTATAAGTGTGGAAAATTTCATACTCCTCCGTCCGCGCAATTTTCGTAAAAAGGGATACAAAGTTTTTGCTTCACGTATTAATATATAGATAATCGCGTAAGTGAATATATAACATGAAGTTACGACGTTTTTTCATTTGAACTAAAACATCCCGTATGCGAGTACAGTTATGATCATAGCAGCATACTAATTGGCTGAACTACAAAAATTTCTTATAATAATAGTGTTTGGGAGTAACGACAAAGGGAAGATCTTCCACTGAGCAGGTGAAATTTCTTGTTAGACCGACGATCCAAATGTTTTTTTTCTACCTTAGCTGATAGCCTTGCGAGGCTATGTCAGCGTAACCGGGCGTGGAGTTTTGCTAATTGCTTTCACTGGCCCTAGCCAGAGCAGTGCTTCGCAGAATCTATCACCGGAACAGAGAAGATCCGGCGAGAAACTCAGTGGGCTACGACGAACCAAAAAAAATTTTTTTTTTTTTTTTCCTACCTAAGCTGAGAGCCTTGAGAGGCTATATCAGCGTAACCCTAACTTTTGTAGGTGAGCTCACGGGGCTCAAACCTGATGACGTTGCTAACACGGACCCTAGCAAGAGCCGTGCTTCGCAGAATCTACCACCGGATCGGAAACGCGACCCACTGAGAAGATCCGGCGAGAAACTCAGTGGGCTGTGTCTNTGAGAGGCTATATCAGCGTAACCCTAACTTTTGTAGGTGAGCTCACGGGGCTCAAACCTGATGACGTTGCTAACACGGACCCTAGCAAGAGCCGTGCTTCGCAGAATCTACCACCGGATCGGAAACGCGACCCACTGAGAAGATCCGGCGAGAAACTCAGTGGGCTGTGTCTGAGAGTTAATTTACTCGTCGAGCCCTTAGTCGCAAGCGACGGGTTCGACGAGAACGGTGACCGGTGCTTGAAGTACCTAGAAGCACCGTTAGTGGATCGGGAGGATCCGAGATGACGTGTTTTGGGCGACGTCGACTGCTTTCCATTCTGTCCGCAGGATCGGGAATGTAGTTACCGGCGGCCACGATGAGAGGGTTCTCGTGTCGTGCCGCTTTATCGAAGTGGTCCAAATATTGTTCGAAACTTGTACATAGGTATGCTTTTGTTGAAAATGCCGTTAGCGCGATTCAGGCATTTGTCAAATATCTTGCGTTTTATGATGATTACCGCCACAAGCGCAGCAAAAATTCATGAAGTGAATGACAAAAGTGGATGACTTAAAGAAGAATACTATTAGACCATATTATATATTAAATGTACAAATAGAATTTTATGCCTCCCAAAACCCTTGGTTTCGCAATTAAATTTAAACTAAACTTTAATCAACTAAAATTTAGTTTTGAACTATAAGACTTCGACAACTTTTATTTACTTCTAAAGAATACTACTACTAATATATTTTTTTGTTTTCATTTATTTAAGCATATTGACATTTATATAAGTATCATATATTACTTATTTCACGGCAACTGAGGTAAACATTACGCAGGCTAGCAGTAAGTTTTACAAAAATCAGGTCATAGTTTATTTCTTATGTACAAAATAGAAATATATACGTCTAATTCTGTTGTACTAAAATTAAAAATATAGCTTGATTTCATATTATTATTAAACTTTTTAACATGTTTATAGGACACACCTACACATTCTTGAATTGATTTAAACTTGTATACTCTTAAACCACGAAATGTTAATGTTTAATGTAATAAAATCATCACATAACGTATTTTATTTCAACTAAAACCCTCTGAAATTAATGCTTCGTTTTGAATTAATAAATATTTGAAAGCAATTGTTTTTAAAATAATTGCCTGACTTAATATTTAAACATTTTCCGTATAGTTCACACTAGCATAAGAAATATTTTAATATATATTTATATATATTTGCAAACGAACTGGTCAACAAATTCCAAGTCAAAGTGTTGACCAGTTCGTTTATCTTGGCTCTCTTCTTTGTGGCGAGGGTGGCAGCGAGAAGGAGATAGCTAGAAAAACCCAAATGTCCAAAAGAGCAATGACTAAGCTCACTTGGATATGGAAAGACCGCAATATATCCCGCAAAACCAAAGTGAGGCTGGTACGTACATTGGTCTTCTCAATTTTTCTTTATGGCGCCAAATCCTGGACGAAGCGAGAGGGTAAAGGTCGACGCTTTTGAAATGTGGTGTTGGAGATGGATGTTGCGAATTCCATGGACAGTACGCCGGACGAACCCCTTGGATCTTGTTCTTTTTGTAAGAGGTTTTAAAATAGTTGTCTGGTGGATATATATAAAAATCAGCTTTCAGAATTTACGTGAAGTTAAGTACTTATTTTGGGAGCTTTAAAGCGTCTGCAAAGCAATTCGGCCGATGGAGTGTCTGGCAACTTATTTTTAAGGATATTGCCTAAAATATACGTAAAAATCAGCTTTCAGAATTTACGTGAAGTAGGTAATGATTGTATGTACCTTGAGTACCTGATACCTGAAAATTGGCCGTCTAACCAAGCTAGTAGGTAGACATGTGCTCTTAGTACATACTAACACTACGCAATCGGCCACCTTTCGTTCGTCAGAAAATATGTGACGTCTGGGGGCCCTGGGATCTTACTCTATTACAAGATGTTCCTGAAAGGGTTATATTCCTTTTGCCTAACTTAATTGACAAATTAAACACAGAAAAGTAAGAACTGTCAATTGTCAAACTATAATTTTGAAAAAGGATAAGTCTGCCGTTTGGTTTCGTAAATAAATATGGATTTTACACCAGATTTACTTGCCTTTCAAGGCGTTTTTATTTCCACAGACAGCGTTCATCCATTCTCAAGGTTGACCGTAAAAGGCGGTAAGTTAAATGGTATAAAAAATACTAATTGTTCTTCATAATTGCTTAATTTAATTTCAAAACATTTATACTATTTATAGGAAACGAAGAAAAGGTCAAATACATTATTGAACATATGTATCAATTCCTCAAAGACAGAAATTTTATGGACGAAAATAAAGTATTATCCAAAGAACATACACGTTTAATTCGTAAATTTATCCTATACATTATTTTAAACGGGAATTTCAAAACATTAGAAAAGTTGGTAGAAAAAGACGATATTGACTCAGTAATATGGACCATACCAACTGTGCCACATTATTTAATGTGTGAATTAATTTGGAGCTTCCAGGTAGAACATTTTGTGTATGAAATCATCTCATATGCATACCCTCCACTTGCTGTCGAAGTGACTGGAGCGTTTATAGAAAACACAAAGTACTACAATCCATTAGACTGTTCACAAAAGTTGGCAAAAATATCATTAGCATGTTATACATTAATTTGCAGATTAAACATGTTTCAATTTCCCGAACAAGAAAATAATACTTTATTAAGTGAAACCTTAAAGCATTTCCAAAATTGTACCAAAAACTTTGTTGAACCTCCAAATAGTTACAAACTGGAAACGCTTCAAAAAGATGAATTATACATACACAATGGAAGTTGGCTTAGTTCAGCTTTAGTACTACTTTATGATTGCCTTGAAAGATACACAAAAATACATGAAAAGGTCCCTCCTGATTTTGATATTATTTATCAAGTAACTTACATAGCAGCTTCAATAAATAAAAATATACAATTTTACAACATTAATGACTGTCCAAAAAATGTATTAGAAACCATAGGAAATTGCAACACAATACTTTTAGATGCATGCCAGAAACTAATAATGGATGTAAATGTTGATATATTCTGTGCTTGGAGTGAGTTTGAAGAAAACGGAAAAACCAAACAGCAATCTATTGGTGAATTGTGTCATAAAGTATATACAAAATTGTCAAGCATACCTGTTTTGTGTGAACATCCAATAGTTGCCATGCTACAACAGATTTCTAGGAAACCAATCGAAGCAAAAGATGTTATAAACTCAACTGATGTTTGTATGATCATTGAGAACATAAACAAAAATGATGATGATAAGGAATCCTGGTTACATGCTCTTCTCTACAAAGATGATTTGTGTGCCTACAGAGAACTTCTTGATGTTATTCATCCTAACATAAATAAATATAGTCCGCAAGAGTGTTTAAAACTGTACTACATCTTGAAACAGGGCATTGTAAACAAAGGCCAGACAGAAGTATTGGCTGTGAAAGCTTTCCATCATTGTGATGTTTCTGACAAACATAAAATACTAACTGAACATTTTGTCAACAACTGCTTTTTTGATATGAAGGAAAATGAACTCTTTACTGATATGAGTACAGAATTTTTCAATAAATTAATTGCAACTTCCAATGCTGATATTACTGATGTACTCACACTCTTCTTGCAGAGCCCAAAGAAAGTTTTTGATAAAATTTTCAACTTAGCCACAGAAAACAGCCAACAGGGAGATATTATGTTACAAGTAATGAAATTATTAGACAACTATTGTAATTATTACTATGAAGTTGATACTGAACCTTGTATTTTCAAAGCATTGCAGAATAATCTGGAAATCTGTATAGATACAGAAGAGAAAGAAAATAACTTTATAAGATTTATTTCTGCATTAAAAAACTATGGCATTTTAATTGGATCTAAATTGCTATTATTAACAATAATGCCAAACATTCACAAAGCACTCCTAAATAAAAATATCAATAATATTAATATGCAAATTAAGTTATTACAAAGTGCTTACACTATAGAAGAGCTATTAGAATACAGAGCCCCAATGTTGGCAATGTTAGCCCAGGTCATGGATATTGTACGGTGGAAAATTCATACATTTGTCACTTCAGCACCGACTACTTTACAAAGCACAATCGAACTTCAAACCTCATTTATGGAGACATATGGCACCAGCATACCAGGTATTTACTTTAGAATAATTTAAAACAAAACAAATAGTGATTTGAAAACTGAGTTCAATTGCAAAACACACCAATTAAACTCACTCTAGTTGAATGGCTATGGCACTATTCCGTTCCAGCTTTGTTAAAAATGTCATTAAAAATGCAAACTTCATATACATTAAAATTTAGAACTGAATCTACAGATCATAAAAACGAATAGTAAGAAATGTAGTAAGTAACTAACTAGCAATGAAAAGTATATTGTAAGTTTTTTTATTTATTTTTTATTGCTTAGATGAGTGGACGAGCTCACAGCCCACCTGGTGTTAGGTGGTAACTGGAGCCCATAGACATCTACAACGTAAATACGCCACGCACCTTGAGATATAAGTTCTAAGGTCTCAGTATAGTTACAACGGCTGCCCCACCCTTCAAACCGAAACGCATTACTGCTTCACGGCTGAAATAGGCAGGGAGGTGGTACCTACCCGTGCGGACTCACAAGAGGTCCTACCACCAGTCATTACGCAATTTATAATTTTGCGGGTTTGATTTTTATTACGCGATGTTATTCCTTCACCGTGGAAGTCAATCGTGAACATTTGATAAGTACGTATTTCATTAGAAAAATTGGTACCCGCCTGCGGGATTCGAACACCGGTGCATCGCTACAATTAGAAAAATTGGTACCCGCCTGCGGGATTCGAACACCGGTGCATCGCTACATACGAATGCGCCGGACGTCTTATCCTTTAGGCCATGACGACTTCAAGTTAAGTAAATTATTGTGTTTTAGTGAAAGAAGAAAATTGGTTAAAATCAAAGTTGAAAAATACACATCCACTAAACACTTACTACTACAGGAAAATATGGAATCCACCAGGCAATAACTTTTTAGAAATTATAACTGGTACTAAGATGAGGCAACACAGTTCTAAAGACGATATCACAACAACATTGATACAGGTTTTTTAATTCCTTATTAGTCTTATTAATCTTACTAAAAACTTAATATTATAATCATCAAATAAATTAATAGACAGCGCAAGAATTTCAACAAATGGGCACATTGCATCCCTTATCTGTGAATGACATTCAAATGAAGTTTTTGTCATAGTACCATTAACATGAAACAATTAGTGCTCATATAGTTTGATAATGTGGCATTTTTCACTGAACTAAATTCTTTACCAATTATTTTCAGATAATATGTTCATGCACACAAGAAGAGTGGTTTACTATTTGGGATTGTCTTGCTAATTTTGAAGCTAAAATAGTTTTAGATGCCTATTATGAAGCCATGTCTTTAATAGCAAGAATAGAAAGAGACAATAGAACTAATAATACTTGGGCATGCATTTTGTATTGTTACAGAACTCTTCTACATTGTACCCGGGTAAGAACCATATTGTTTGATATGCCTTTCTATTAGATAGCTTATTGTGGTAAACACAAATGCTTTAATGAAATCACTTTATATAGGATAATACATTACTGTAGTGTTTGTGTAAATTGTAATTCTCTTTTTAGTACAAATTCTTCAAAGAACCATTAACAAACAATCAAATACTAGATGTTATTAATAACATCACAAGAATGCCGATACTCTGTGATGGACCAAAAGAAGACATGGAACCTTTACTGCTTCCTCTTCTAGCTTATATAGCTGAACGCAAAAATGATTATTCAATTGATCTCTCTAGCTGTGATCTTGTCAAATATGAATGTCTGGTCACTATTATAAACAACATATTTTCTAAGAAATAAGAATAATAGTCGTTGATAACTGATAATAAAACGTTTTCAGTTGTGATGTTAAGCTTTGGTAAATGTAAATGTTCGTTAAATATAAATATTGAAGTAGATTTGCATTTTTAATTAAAAATGATTCATTTTCCCTAATACAAAGAAAGCATTGACAAAGTAATAATCATTAACAAATAAACCATATGAAGGCCCACTTGGAGTAATGATTTCGAAAGCCTATGGACATCACAATATGAGTGCCGCTACCCTCCTTGAGAGGTGATGTCGAAGTCTCTATTAGACTGTATAAAGGCTGTCCCACCCTTCAAGCCGAAATACAGGACTGCTTCGTGGCAAAAATGGACAGGGTGGTGATTCCTACCCATTGGGTCTACAGTATTACACACTGGTAAAAGTCGGTTACCGATTCCAGCGTCCAAGTAAAATATTATTCAGATAAAACTGTTCCTCATGCTTCAGCGAATCCTAATCACATTTTACGTCACCCACTGGGAGGGATTAGGTGGTGTTATTCTACGCCGATCTTATTACATTTACAAAGGACAAGTGAAAAAGGAGAAACCACAAGCTTTAGCGTGGTGTGGCCGAACGGCAAAGTGTTGTACGGGCTCTACATTCGCCCGCGAACCGCGGCCGCGAATCACGGCTGCGGTTCGCGCATGAACACGACGTGAAAAACATAGCCCTCTACACATGCAACCTTTCGCATTCACGTTCGCGCATTTGACTGAAATGGACGTTGAAGTTGCTGCTCCTCTGACATTATGCGCCTTAGCGTGTTACAATTATGTGTTTATAAAATCAAAAAACATTAAAAAAAGAAATGGAGGAGAAGAAGGTGGTGGATGACACAAATCAATCGCAACAATCCTTAACTTTTTTTCTATATGTTCTGTAGCTAGACATTAAGGAATCCTTTTTCTTCTTTAAATATGGCACAGGAATTCCCATGATTGCACTAATTCTCAGCCATGCATCATGTACTTTATTTTTGTTTTTATGATCTCTATATTGAGCTTGCCAAAGCATGGGCTCAGCGTGATAACATTCAAGAAACGCTAGTTGCCGATCGTTACTCCATTCGATACTCATGACATCCGCTTGTCACTGCGTTTCGCACACAACTGCGAACATACCCGAGTGTGGTGGCCTTCGCGTTCGCGCTTCGCAGGCCCTTTGTCGCGGGCCAAAAAACCGCAGCCGGGCGGGGAACGCCGCGAAGCGCGACCGCGAAGTCGCGAAACCATCCACACTAGATATGTGTCGTTCGTTCAATTTTAGAGATTCAGATCAGTACTGACCTGTTGACAAAATGATCCGGTTCGTACGACCCGTTCAGTCGAACGAACGACTAAGCGAGACGGGCGCGGGGCGAGACGCGGCAACCCGAAATGACCCGAATGACCGTCGTACTCGTATGGTTTTTTTCTTCTGATTCGTAGGTTTTGTGTTAAACCAGTCGATTTAGTGAACGACTCATATTTTTTGAAGTGACCCTATCGTTCGCGCGGAATTTGAGACCCGGGTCGTTTGACTCGTTCGTTCGCGAACGACACATATCTAATCCACACTCGCGGTTCGCGCCCTTCGCGGACATTCGCGCCGCGAATGTGGAGCCGGCTTTAACTCACGTCAAGACTCGCGAATACTCAAAAGCACACTGTCTGGAATTGTTGATTTATTTATTTTATAAATTAAGAACAAAAAGAAAAGAATGGAAATGGTAAATACGTATTTAATATAAATTGAATCTTAGAGCTATTTACGTGTCTACAATTACGTATCTGCAAACGTTAAAATTACATTGAATTAACCACAACGATGGGTAGGTACATAAAATATGCTTAAATCCTACTGGCGTAATATTTAAAATCAAGTATAATATTTATCTACGGAATAAAACTAATTTGATAAAAAATAGATACCTACTGTAGGTATTATTTTTTCACTAGATTCAAATTTCTTTTTTTGTTCCCATCTGAGAATCTATTAAAAATATTATTCTTTAACCGGGTAATGTTTCTTATGGTAAGGCAATGCAGATAGTAATAATAAAATTTAAAAAAAAGCAGTCATTTTGTATTTTAGATCTCAAATAACTTTCCACAATCGTATCCCAATTCTTGACACATCTGACACAAATTACTCAGATGATCTCGAGAATTCTTATTATTTGTCCAGTCAGAAGAACGTAAGGGTCTCTGAAATTAATAAAAACTAGCATTAATAAAAAAATAGGTGCTTAAAATAGCTTAATATTAAGTGTATAGGATTTCCTTTCCAGTTCCAGTTTGAAATAGGTAACAATTTTTCTAATTAATGAAACAATTTACCCATTTAACATAATAATACTGCGTTCACTAACAACATCCGTAAAAAATTAAACCAAAATTCAACGGCCTTTCAAAATATAATTTAGAGAAGATTATAGGCCCAGTGGAAAGGCGGTGTCGCCAACTGTTTGAAAACTTTCCCCCTAAAGCATTTTCAAAAACCACTAAATTAGTGGTATATTTTTGAGAATAGCCAGAAACTTTTTCTCCCTTTGGCATTTTAAACCTGGTATTTTATATTTGGTATTTGTTTTAAAAAAAAGATAGTGCACAATGCAAAAACTATCAATTTTAACTGACTGTTTTTAGCTGTCAGCTGTTAAGAGTATAATAAAAAGTGCATACAGTGTCATCTATTAAAATTGAAAACATTCAATCGATTTGAATTTGTTTTTATTTTTGTTGATGTACGTAGAATTTTTTTTAAAAATACTAATAAAATTTTATCCCTAAAAATATCCCCAAAAAATTTCACCCCCTAAAAAAATCCCTGTATAGATTTTTTCCCCCTAAATTTGGTGGGAAAACCCCGGAGTTGGCATCACTGTGGAAAGGTTCGTATTCTGTAGAACAGGGCCAATGGCGAATTCGGACCGCCGCACCGCCGCACCGGGCCGAGCCATTTTGAGTGAACCGCGAGAACACGGCAACTTACACTACAGCGTCCCTAGCGGCAAAGGTTCCAACTCCATACAAATTTGAGTTAAATTTTACGCTATCGAGAACGTTAAAAAACTCGCACTAGGCACACAGAGTACGGAAGTTTCCAGCGAAGAGTTCTGGGTAAAATTTGTGTGTGATAGTAAATATCCAGAACTACGAAAAACTACTATGAAACTTCTTACTTTGTTTAGTCAACATGCATAAATTTGTGAAGCAGTTTTTCCTAAGATGAACTTCAATAAGAATCAATTTCGATCTCAACTGACTGATGAACATCTCCAGGATTTAAGTCAATAGCTTGAAGAAAATTTCCTTCAAACTTCATACTGATAGGCCGTAACAAAAAAACAATCATTTTTGTACTTGTTATGTAAAAAAAATACCTTTGTAATTTATTTCCGTACCTAATTACATTTATTTGATTCACAAATATTTTTTTTCTATAAAATGCTGTGCGGACTGCAAGGAACATTATTTAATTTTTTTAAATGGATCCTGACCGAAACTAATAGATGCCTCTGCCCTAAAATACGAAATTTGAATATACCTATATTTTGTTTGAGCGGATTAGATGTAGGTACAAAAGATTTGAAAAAGGGTTATGGGGAGGGTACCATAAAATAATGCCTTAGTAACTATTTAAAATGCAGACAATATCAGTATCATTTATTTTGTTCAAAATTACCACATTCATAATTTATATTGCCGAGTGCAGTGCATTACGTGAATGTATGTACTTACTAGGTGTTTGTATAAGGAATCAAAACAAAAAAAAATACATACCTACTCATAACACAATTAGGTAATAGCTAGTAATTACACAACTAGGTAATACCTAGTTATGTTATGAGTATTTAAATTCATTCCAATTGGTATCTACTTACTTGAGTGCGAGCGTACACCTTCTTCCGGCATCGTGTACAGATTTGATATTTTTGGGGCCATGATTTGCGACTGCTCCAAGCATTTCCGCAAACACAAATGTATTTACCGAAGCAAGGCTTGTTCCTTCCCGAACTATGTGGTGTACTCTTGTTAAGAAAAGGAAGTAAATAAGTGTAATAATATATTAGATATGTATTATTAATCAATGGTTTCAAAATTTATTTTATTCAAATACATAGTTACAAATTACATGCTGAACATAAAATGAAGCGTACTAAATTTCTTTGCGGTTTCTAAGTGGCCTCAATATTAATAAATATTATTTTTTGCACAAAGACAATTATTGTACGTTTATACCTATTTATGTAGGCTTTAATGTACATGGCAGGGGGAGCTCAAATATACTATCTGTCCGGTAGTATATTACTGAGTGCACGAGCACGCGATCCCGCCTTCCCTGAGCTGCTATAGACCACAACCTACTCTTCCGTGGCTACAGTATCCTGTCCTTCCTACTCCTGACTCCCCTCTTCGTCTCTTTAATACCCATCCCTACACACGGCTCCCTCCCGCTTAACACACAAAGTCTGACTTGGCGAGGAAAGCAACACAACGCAGATATGCAACGTGACTTGGCGGACTCGGCGGGTCAGCAAGGCAAGGTGGATGGCCTAGGGCGACGGTGGAGGGCATATAGTCACCGTCAGCCAGACACAACATCCAACCCCTTCTTCAGTCGTAGCGGTTTCCCGTTCCACTGATCCAAGAAGGGATCGGACGAGGGTGTACCCCTGCGTGAGCGCAAACGTTTGCGCACCTCCTGCGTATCTGACCGCTATGATTCGCCATGGCCGAAATTGGTTCGATCGATGAATTATAATGTACATAGACGACGTTTCGCTCTTCTTGTCACGAAAGAATTTAACATAAAATAAGGACTGACTTCAGCTATAGCACTAACTTAAATTATTGTGTATAGTAGGAGTAGTATATTATATTATGTATTATATTTTAATGAGTAGCATGAGCTTATGTAGTCTCACTGAAGATCTACGTAAAAAACAAGTCATATCTATCTCTATCTACACGTGGACAAATTTAGGTACGAGGAATCGAAAAAAATGTCTAAGCAAACTTTTATTTATTTATGAATTGTTAAAAAGTTATTAAGAAGAAATAAATAATAGTTTAAAAAAACTAACAAAATACGCTTTTATAGAAAATCCAACTAAAAAATAGAAAATAAATTTTAATAAATTTGAATTAAAAATAGTGTAAGAAAAAATGATTTTATTGTAAAAAAGCGTGAGGTGCTTTTTAGGATATAATCAAAATAACATATCTATATGTATAAAAATGAATTGCTGTTCGTTACTCTAGCTAAAACTCGAGAACGGCTGGACCGATTTGGCTAATTTTGGTCTCGAATTATTCGTGGAAGTCCAGGGAAGGTTTAAAAGTTAGATAAATATGAATATGCTCGGAATTGAATAAAAATAGCAATTTTAATTTTTCTTTGATGTGTCCTCCGTCTGTCCGATTCCTTTTGTTTGTTTTAAGTGTATTTTATACAAAAGTTTAGGTCTTTTATTTATCGATTGAGGCACTACGAAGTCTGCCGGGTCAGCTAGTCTGTTCATAAAATATTTATAACTACTGATACCATGCACCCCACGCTTTTTTTATTCTATTTTTTAGTTGGATTTTCTATAAAAGCGTATTTTGTTAGTTTTTTAAACTATTATTTATTTTTCATTTTTTAGTCGAATTTCAATTTCTTTATATTTTTTTATATTTCCAATTTTTTTTAAATATTGAATTGTCATCGGTCCTTAATAAGTATACCAAATTTCAAATTTAATCGGACGTTTTGAAGGGGGTCAAACTCATGTTCAAAGATTCCGGTACTAACATACATACGTCTGAAGCTAAAAAAAGCGTATCAAAAATACCAAATTTCATGATTAAAATTTAAGTTCACATTAACTTTTATAAGAAATTACACCAGCTGCTCATACGAGTCCATGTTGAATATTATAACACCAAAAAACCTGGTTATTTATTTGTAGCTATTCTTTACCTATTCCAGAAACGCACAGCAGTACGGAAAATATCAACATTTTTTTTAAATACGTATTTTGGGTACTACCTGAGTTTTTTTTTATTTTGTGTCCCCAATAGCTCTACTATGAGGTGTTTGAGGATTATCCATTCTTTCTAGGACACCCTGTATATGTGTTTACAACAAATGGACTTTTTGCCGGGAACACGAGGAGCTCTGTTGTGTGAATTATTTATTTTTATTTTAAGAAATAATCTTCATGTTTAAATGTTTGATAATAGTGTTTTATTATGTGTATATAGCATCTGTGAAAGTGTCCAAATGTGGGAAAATAAAACAAAGCCGCTGGAAGTTGCTTCTCGGGTTCTTCCGAAAATTCCATTGAAAAAACCTTAGTTAAAAACGACAATTTTATGCAGACTTTCATTAATTCATCTCATCGCGTTTAATATAATTTCACTCCAATTCATTAAAGACTCAAAATAATCAATCTCATTTGACTTCATATTGTAACAGAATAAAACACTTTGCCTAAAGGTATCGGTATAAAGTGACATATCAAAAAAAAAAAAATTAGAGCATCTAAGTTCATCTAACCGCTCTTGGGCATTTATGAAAAAAAGGAATTTAATGTTTCTTTTCTGCAATATCATTCTTACTTTGGTATCTTTTCGTCATTATACCATTGTTTTTTCGATGATTGCAATTTTTAATTAGCTAAAAACAAGCAAATTCAAATAAATCAACTAAATTCTCATAATGAACATTATAATAGTTTTGAACACTTTTTCGATTTCTCCTAAATAAGTCCACGAGTGTACTCCACTCCACTTATGTCAACAACAAAGTTACCTAGTTTCTTACCGTTTGTTTCGATGAATTGTATGTACAAATTTCACAAACTTGATTAACGACAATCAAATTATTAACAGCCCTTCTATTGCTTTTTTTTTTTTTTTTTTTTTTTTTTTTTTTNATAGCCCTAGCGGCTATTTCAGCGTAACCCTAACTTTAGTAGGTGAGCTCACGGGGCTCAAACCTGACGATGTTGCTAACACGAACCCTAGCAAGAGTCGTGCTTCGCAGAATCTACCACCGGATCGGAAACGCGACCCACTGAGAAGATCCGGCGAGAAACTCAGTGGGCTGTGTCTGAGAGTTAATTTACTCGTCGAGCCCTTCGTCGCAAGCGACGGGTTCGACGAGAACGGTGACCGGTGCTTGGAGTACCTAAAAGCACCGTTAGTGGATCGGGAGGATCCGAGATGACGTGTTTTGGGCGACGTCGACTGTTCTATTGCAATGCTGACATCGTTCCCGAGAATCACACTAAAAACAAAATAAAATTATTAAAAGCAATAGGTAACAAAAACATTTTTCGAAATGGTTGGCTTACCTCACTGGACCAAAAGCAACCCATATTCAATCAAATGAATGTGATTTTAACTATGTCGGAATGCTTCTACTTTCTATGACTGTTATCATCAAAATGATAGATGAAGATGACAAACACATGCACAAACTCTGACAAATAAAATTTGACCAATAGCTAGGCAGCGCTCGACTAAACTTCACGGGCATGCAAAGTGCAAACGTTGAAAATACTATCATGTTTCACAATTGTTTGGGTTCTGTTTGGGGTTCACTTAAACAAAAAATATTTTTATAGTTCTCGTGGTGTATTTCTGTTAAGAAATGTATAAAATACAGATGGGCTCACAATTTTCTAAAGGGATGAAACTATTCATGAAAAAAATAAAACTATTCTAAGTTTTTTTTTTATTGCTTAGAAGGGTGGACGAGCTCACAACCCATCTGGTTTTAAGTGGTTACTGGAGCTCATAGATATCTACAACGTAAATGCGCCACCCACCCTGAGATATAAGTTCTAAGGTCTGAGTATAGTTACGACGGCTGCCCCACCCTTCAAACCGAAACGCATTACTGCTTCACGGCAGAAATAGGCAGGGTGATAGTACCTACCCTTGAGGACTCACAAGAGGTCCTATCACCAGTAATTACGCAAATTATAATTTTGTGGGTTTGATTTTTATTACACGATGTTATTCCTTCACCGTGGAAGTCAATCGTGAACATTTGTTTAGTACGTATTTCATTAGAAAAATTGGTACCCGCCTGCTGGATTCGAACACCGGTACATCGCAAGATACGAATTCACCGGACGTCTCATCCTCTAGGCCACGACTTTAAAGTTTTTCTGTAAAGGTAAGTTTTTCTTTTCTAATATTATGACCATGTAGCGTGTTTGGAATGATCTACTACAGTAGTTTACGTTTCATAAGATAAGTACTGTGCCGATTTAGGAAGCGAATATGAATTTCATGAAAGTGTCTTATTTTTTCACTGATGGACCTAGGCCAAGGCTTGCCAAAATACCCGGTCCTGTCCAACTGGCATCCAGTGGATTCCCGCGACCTGTAGTAGGTCGCTGGTCGACCTTAAGCTGTCCTATAAGGAGATCATACTGTTATCTGTATTTTTTATTCCTGTGTATAGATTAATTACAACTTTTTTTTTATGATTGAAAGTTTACTGGTGGCCCGAAGGCCTTTCCAGTTTCACCAGGACAGGTGGGCGAGCAAAGGCTCAGCGAAGAGGGGCCGGATTTGCTAACAACTGCCCGAGCGCCTCCGAAGGAGACCTAACAACTCAAGAGCAATTGTTTCGCGAATGAACCTACTAACGGATCGGAATCGCGACCCGCTGAGAAGATCCGGCGAGAAACTCAGCGGGCTGATGCATGGGTTAGGTTGCACGTCGACCTCTTTGTCGAGTTCGACGAGTACGGTTACCGGGGTCCCTAAGCCTGCTCCTAGTATTAGAGCTGAAGGCATCTAATGCAAAGGTTATTGGATCTGATGGATCCGTAAGGACGTGTCTAGGGCGTCGACGGTGACTGGCTCCTGCATGATCAGGATTCGGGGAGTAGTCAGCGGCGGCAACGATAAGGCGATTATCATGACGCATAGCCTTATCGAAGTATCGTTCCGACGCTGACTTCATGTATTTCCGAATTGATTCGAGGCCCAGGTCGTCGTGTAGGTCAACGTTCCTCACGAACCACGGAGCCCCGACAGCTAACCTGCAAAAGCGGGATTGTAGGGATTGGAGGGTGTCTATGTGTGTGCGGGCCGCGTGAGCGAACACCACACTCGCGTAAGTCATGACGGGCCTTATGCAAGTTTTGTAAAGTGTCACCTTGTTCCGAAGGGACATTTTACTCCGCTTACAGATCATGGGGTAGAGTCTACCGAGAATAAACGCGGCACGGTCACGGACTGATTTTATATGCGGGCGGAATGTCATCGATGCATCCAGGGTAACGCCCAGGTACTTGACCTTCCTGGCCCAGGGTATGGGTTGTCTAAAGAGAGTAATCGGGGGTGTGAGATTCCTCCTCCTAATCCGGGAGGAAATCCGTGTGGAGCTTCCCCTCTGAAATAGCACCGCAGTACTTTTCGCTGGGTTGATGTCTATGCGCCATTTTCGGAACCACTGTCCTAGGGCTAGGGCTGCGCTCTGAAGCTTCTTCGCGATTAGGGACTTATTTCTACTAGAATAGTAAACAGTCGTGTCGTCGGCGAATAAAGCTAAATGGGTCGGCGGCGACCGGGGAATATCGTTGACGAATAAGCTAAATAGGAGGGGTGAGAGGACAGAGCCTTGCGGGACTCCAGCCGCGAGAGGTCGTGGGGAGGAGCGGGTTCCCTCGACTCGATATCGAAAAGAGCGGTTCGACAAGAAGTCCCGTATGATGAGCACGAGACTATCCGGCACGCCCATGTTGAATAGTTTGAAAATCAAACCATTGTGCCAGACTTTGTCGAACGCTTTTGCGACGGCGAGGAAGAGAGCTCCCGTGTTTAACGGTTTTGGTCGATTAAGCCCCACAAGAATGTGCTCCGTGAGGCGGTGCACCTGTTGAACGCATGAGTGATTTGTACGGAATCCGAATTGTTCATCGATGAGAATGCCCTTGGATGAGACGAAGTCTCTGAGGCGTTTGTAGAGCAGACGCTCATACAGTTTGCCTAGAGACATGAGGAGGCTAATCGGGCGGTATTAATTACAACTTGAATATGGCCACCCACCCTGAGAGACAGGCTCTGTTACTCCTTCGAACCGGCACTTTGACTGTTTCATAGTGAAAATAGGCATTACGTACTAGATAATCAATACGGAACCCTTCAAGGAAATGTTCAGTTAAACACTCTAAGGAACTTAACGTTTCTTAGAAAGAGTAAGCTCCAGTGTTTGGTTTGGTATATAATTTAAGCCTCGGATACACTAGGGGACAAATTATCCCACAACATGACGCGCAACACTATATCTACGTGACTCGCGAAGTTGCACCGAGGCCACATGTCCCTAAACATTTTGAGGAGCATTTACGTGACGCGGGACATTTTGCCACTGTCGGCAGCTCCCTTACTGAGAGCGGGCGCACGTGTTGCGCGTCAGTGCCGCGCAGATCATAGATAATAGATAATACACTTAATATTGCGCAGGTTGTCGCTAAGTGTGGACGCGTGCGCAATCTGTCTCTCAGCATGTCGATAGTGTGGGAAAACGAAACGGTAGGACTACATTTGATCGAACTCTACCATAGTTATGGATTGCTGTGGGATACTTCAAATCGTGATTACCGAAAAAAATTAAAGAAAAATAACGGAGGACATAGAAAAGACCCTAAATATACCTAAAAAATAAATAGAAAATAAAATGCATACACTTCACTCCCAATTTATCCGGGAGAAAAAGAAGATAACATCATCGAAAACTACGGGTAGTGGACGAGCCGATGTTAAGTCCAGTACGTGGTTTGCAAAATAATATGACGCCTGGCTAGCGTGTATGCTGTACAGCATGTCTCGCGACAATTTTGTCCCCTAGGCTCTTTATTGACGAGTGACATGTTCGGGGCATGCTGCAATATCTGTCCCCTAGTGTATCCGAGGCTTTATTGATAGCTCTGACATTTCAAATGTTCCACTTCTTTTGCGCTCACACTGAAAAAAATAAAGAATTTTATATTCAATTGTTTAAAAAGAAAGTTGCTATCTTTACATAGAACTTAATTGCTATTACGATTTACGCGAGACTTTAAAAAAGATTTACTGCTTTGCAATAACGTGAAATAAAAGAATGCAGTTTATATTGTGCCACCATCGTTCATTTTTGTTTCAAATGAATTCCTTTTAGCTACAAAACTATAAACAATAGGTAGTTTAAAACAAAACTTACAAAGCAATTGCTGATGAAAATAGATAGTATTGAATACAAAACGTTCCACAGTTTACGGCATCAAGCCATGATCTTTTTTTTTATTGCTCTTGTAGGCAGACGAGCATACGGCCCACCTGATGGTGAGTGGTTACCGTCGCCCATGGACTTCAGCAATGCCAGGGGCAGAGCCAAGGGGCTGCCTACCGTTAAACAATCTGCTTCATTACGGATCCTCCCGATCCATTGACGGTGCTTTTAGGTACCACAAGCACCGGTCACCGTCCTCATCGAGCCCGTCGCTTGCGACGAAGAGCTCGATGAGTAAATTAACCCACAGACACAGTTTCTCGCCGGATCTTCGCAGTGGGTCGCGTTTCCGATCCAGTGCTAGATTCTGCGGATAGTGGATCGGGAGGATCCGAAATGACGTGTCAATATCATGCTACTATGGTCAATCAGAGGAATCGCGGAATCACAAGCTACCGCAATGCGTCCCGCGTCCATAGTAAAAATCAATGTAGGCTATCCTGGTGGACCAAAGAACTAACCGAACTTAAAAATGAGGTTAAAAGAATCAGAAGCAAGATTAGGAAGGCAAACCCTAGAAGAAGGCCGCTTCTGATAAAAGATTATCAAGAAAGGTTAAAAGAATATAAACACACAATAATCACAACGAGGACTACCAGTTGGAAAGAATATACATCACGACAGAAGAGAGAATCGATGTGGGATAAATTCTACCGCATTATACGTATTAATAATAGAAGCAGAGATGAGGTAATGCTCAAGAAAGGGAATGACGTCCTCGACCCCCTCAAATCCGCAGAACTACTAGCTGACACATTATAGAATAGGATAGCCTAAGGACAATAAAGATATCGAAAACGAAGAACATCACCGCATACGAGAGGAGATAGCTGCATGGAGGGAGAAAATGATCGGAGAGAAGGACCCTGTAGTGTGCAGCTCGCCTAACCTTATATTTGTAACTGCACACACTAAATTATGACAGAATTACATGAATTGTCGACTTGAACAGTTCTCTTTTATTTCACCTACAACACTCCAATACATGGCGACCCTTAGCCAGCAGTTAAAATTTTGCAACTTACATAAGTTACGAGAGTATCTGAATAAATTATGAACAAATACAATTATGAATAATAGAAGTTTGTGAAGACGAGAAGAGGAAAGAAGATTTTCAAATTACAGAAGATTGATTTGGATAAAGCGATGAAAACAATATACGAACACAGAAAAGGGTGTTGCTGTGGGGACCCGGGAGAATGCTCAAGCCTTATAATGAGAGGATATGCAGGGCGCCGGGAGATAAATTGTACGGGTCCGAGGTGGAGCAGCTAGGAGTCAGTTCGAGTCCAATGCTGAGGAGTTCATTCACCCATGCTACGTAAGACGTCATGACCTACTTATACGTTGACAGTAAATACGTACTTACTGCAATGTAAGTTTTTGCTCTGATAATGTAATTTTTTTTACGTTGTTTTAATGTTCTGTATTTTTTTTTTTATTGCTTATATGTGTGGACGAGCTCACAGCCCACCTGGTGTTAAGTGGTTACTGGAGCCCATAGACATCTACAATGTAAATGCGCCACACACCTTGAGATATAGTTCTGAGTTCTCAGTATAGTCACAACGGCTGCCCCACCCTTCAAACCGAAACGCATTACTGCTTCACGGCAGAAATAGGCGGGGCGGTGGTACCTACCCGTGCGGACTCACAAGAAGTCCTACCACCAGTAATTACGCAAATTATAATTTTTATGTCATTATTAAGTTCATGCGAAATTTCTTTACATTCAGTTTAAAGAAATTATGTCACAACAATTGCGAGATTTACCTACATGCTAATTTAGAATATTTAAGAGAATATATAGTAAAACTTGGTCCAAATAGGCGTACAGAGGATTTAGGTTTTAAGAAACTAGAGGAAGCTCAAAAAGAATGTAGAAAATTGGAGTATATTTTGAGTCAATTGAATCAAGAAATTCAAGATCAGAAATTAGATAAAAAATCTTGTGAGATTTTCCAAACATTAATTGATGAGATACGGCATAATTTTAAGAAAATAAAGAGTTTATTTTCTTTGAGAGATAGTAGGAGTCAAACTAGTTCTAAAGATTTGATAGAATATTCTAATTGTGCTACAAAAATGTCAGACTCATTTGATATTAAAACTGCAATTTCCCTGTTGCCGGTATTGAATGGCCAGGAGCAGGTGACAAATCAACTTATCGATGGTATTCTTCTTTATAGTTCGCTCATCAATGATGACAGTAAAAGTAAATTAATAGATTTCGTATTAAAAACACGTCTCTCATCTAGTGCAAAACTGCGCCTTAAAGCTATACTGACATCGAAAGTTTGGTATGAGATATTCGCGTTTATTTGTTACCGAAAAAATCGGCTGTAGCATTACAAACCCAATTATTTAGAGTTACTCAAGGTCGTATGACTATAGAAAAATTTGGTTCTGAGATTGAGGAGTTGGATCCTTCACCTCCTGTGGTGCTTTATTTAAAATATAAATAAATCTATTCTCCTTTTATGGTGTTTTTCAATTTAACTTGATTTTAAAATATCTGCCTTAATCATATAACATTTTACATCTACGTGTGCAGTGCCGGATTAAGCAAGCGCGGGGCCCGTAGCAAATTATTTCAAAGAGCCCTTGATCTACTATGGGTTCTTATGTATAAAGTGGTAAAAAAACACTGTGTCGGGTAAGAGTGCTTGCATACGTCAGACTTTTTGTAGAGCTGATTATCAGGCTGATTGAAATTCTACACGTTTATACAAACAACTTTTTCTTAATAAGACATTCAAAAAATTAAGCTCGGGTAGAGATGAGTGGGTTTAAATATGCGCGGCCCCCGTTCGCGCGGGGCCCGTAGCAATTGCTACTCTTGGTACATGGTTTATCCGGCACATGTAACATGTGCATGTGCTATATAACATTTTTATATGTAAAAAAACAAAAATAAAAATGTTTGAAGTTGTGGGACAGTCCGATTTTGCTAGGGTCAATTTTTTTGAAAAACACCCAATTGCAAATACCCGTGAGCCACGCTAACGACGGCCCGCGTGATCGCAAGCTCATCTGCCTTCGTTGACAATAAAAAATATGTAACAAATTTTGAAGACCGCATCTAATCTATAATAATATATAAATCTACAGTGGTTTTTACAGATGTTCCGTTATAACTACTGAACCATGCATCGGATTGACTTGAAACTTGGTATTCATATAGAAAATACATGTACTTACTGGATAGGCTAATATTTATATTAGTGTTGAACTTCCTAATAATAATGACAATAAGTAATAATGTTAATTTTAAATGCCCAGCGAAGCGAGCGAGTGCGGCTAGTCTCACTATAATTTCAATTACTTTAACTTACCTGTCGATTCCAAACATTAGGTAGATACCTACAACTAAATGGCCAAAACATAATGTACTGTCATAAAGTTTTGACGTAAAATGTCTTCTTTCAAATTTTAAGTGTACTCAAACGAAAATGCTATTCAATATCTTATTTTCTTTTTGCAGTTGCGAAAGTAAAAATAATGAAAACAATATTGTCAACGATGCTTTCCCTAGTTCTGATCATTTGTTCGGGATAGCAGGAACGCTACTGGTGACTGCAGTGTGCTGGGTTCTTTTTAAAATGGTCAGTAAGTTGACATTTTTATACAGTGCGTCCAATTTGAATTGCATTTTAAATCCGAATATTTCTACTATAGATGGTATTTAATTTTTTCGCTGTCGAGATCTTGTCCCAAATTTGGAAAAAGTACAAGTCTGTCGGCACCAGGTATGGTGAGTACGTTCGATTACAAAACGTCGAATCATAGCTCTTGTAGCTTAGAGATCGTCTGGTCTGCGGTATAAAGTCAAGCGTTGTCGTTTAGGAGCAGCGGGGACGAGCAATTAACCAAGGCTGGATATTCGCGAGCTCCTCCATCATTGTGTCCAGTTCTTCACAGAACACATCACACAATGCTGGTGCCGTTCAGTACGAAGCTGTGAATTATTACTGCACTAGATCACTAAGCAATGACCATGTCTTTTTAGGGCTAAATTTTAGTTTGGTTCATTGCTTAGGATCTGACAATAGTTTACAAGCAAAAAAAAAAACTGACAAATATGAACACCCCTTACGATTATCAAAAGAATCAATTTTTTATCGCAAGCGATAATGCGGTTCATAATCCCTTCGTTTCCGCCTGTGTGCTTAGTGCGAGTATTTTGCCCCTGGCTTACCGCCAGGAGCGCTGTTCCAGCACCATACAAATTTAAGTTAACTTTTACGTTTGAGAAGTTAAAAAACTCGCACTAAGCACGCTGTTATGCAATACAAGACATACTATAACGCGTTCGTCGCGCTGGTGATCGTCTCTTTCAGCTCGTGCGGCACCCACATGACAACTTATCTTACCATGCCAATTTGATGCAAATGGAACAATATTTTTCTGATACTAACGTTGAAAACTGCTGCGCCTTTTATTCGTCGTCGCAGAATTTAGGTTTCAAGAGACCACGAGGCTCATATTTTTAGATTAAATTTTCTAGATATGTTGGAAACTTTCACACAAAATGTCGAGTCGTGCGTTCTTTTGTAGTCTTCATTTTTACACGTCATTACTTACTATTAGATTTGTGAACCGTTTGTGCGGCATTGTTACCGCAACGGAACTCATGTTCCATAATTACTTATATTTTTATTACGTTCCTATTGATAAAAAAGGTACAAATGTGGTGAAATCAAAACACTATTATTATTTATTATTTAATAACTAATGCCCGCATTTGAAAATAGTATTCCATATTTTCCAAATAAAATTCATTTGAATGTAGAATTTATTGCCAGTCAACCATAAATTACGTTTAAAATGGCCAGTATTGTGTAACGGCATCTTTATAGGTAAAGGCCTATTAAATTATTGAAGCAATGAACGTGAACGTTGCACGGAATGGCCCTAAAATGCGACACGATAACCAAATAAATGCTACATCACCGTTTTTTCTTTCCTACCTATGCTGACAGCCTGAGAGGCTATGTAAGCGTAACCTAATAAGTAGGTGAACTCACGGGGCTTAAACTTGACGACGTGGCTATCACTAGCCAGAGCAGTGATTCGCAGAATCTACTACCGGATCGGAAACATGACCTACTGAGAAGATCGGGCAAGAAACTCAGTGGGCTGTCTGTGGGTTAATTTACTCGCGAAGCCCTTCGTTGCAAGCGACGCGTTCGACAAGAACATCACCGTCAATAGTTTTTGTAAACGTTAATTTAACTACGTATCAATATTGTCAATGTAAATTAAACAATTTATTCCTTTTCTTAAAGAAGTTATTACTTAGAAAGCTTAAGGTTTTGATAAGATCAGTGGGACCCTATAATGCAGGATGTTATAACACAGGAGCTAGTCTCTAGTTTAGAACTCTTTCCTTACTGAAAACTACAGTCCATTTTGAAGTATTAAAACAATCCACTATGTACTCTTCAACTACAATATACCTCTAAATGAATGTATTAAAACGTTGGCTGCTAGACGGTTTGCCCAAGGCACCAACGTGACTTATTCAATATGCAATGCATTTTTGCCGCAAAGTGCATTTAGCAATAAAGTGGGTACTTTAATCAATTTGTACGATTGCCCTCTATTCAAACCATCGTGCTTTGGCAACACAGTGGCTACTCTCATTATTTATGTCTCATTTTGTTGGTCGTTAGAGCTTTACTAAAAATTACATTCACATGTCTATTTATTTTATTTGATGCCCAGTGAGTGACATGAGAATCAAATTTAAATCATCTCCTTGGCTTTTCACGAGTCGTAGTTGTAATTACATAATTGAGTCGACTATTATCAAAGGCGGCAATCTGACTTTTGGACAATGATTGGTAAATCAGAAAAACGAATTATTGACTTTGTATTCCATCGGCAGTCACAAAACTCTTCAGAACGACATCTTAGATAAATAACAGGTTAACTATTAACCTTTATTTAATGCAGGTTTTGAACCGTATTCTTTGAAAGAGACGATTATATTCAAATCAATCTGTATTGACATATCAATAAATTTTTTTTGTCCAAATGCACAGATTGCCACCTTTGATAATAGACGACTCAATTATAACATTAGAAATAATATAATTAGAATATAAAACGCTTTTTGATACTAAGAATTTATTTATAATTTTCACTATGTCCATTTTTTATTATAATTAAATTACATCATGTTGTTAATGAGAAATATATCCGATCAACAAAAACAAACTCTATTCATAGACAAGCAAGTCATAAAGTATTTTACTTTTATGGTAAATCGCTTTAGCATTACAGTAAAATCCTTGAGGACGTCACTAAAGAATGTCAACGATAAATTATTTCAACAACAACGCTCAAGTCTTTGTCGACCATATTTTTTAAATAAAAGTGCTATTTAATAATTACATTCTCTACCAAGTCTTCGTTTTTCTATAAACACTAACACTAGCGTCAACAATGCCTACACAATTAGCTAGTTTTTATTGAGAGGTAGTACATATTTCGTTTGACAATATAATCTAGAGAGCTCTAGCTATTTTATAAAATTGGACATATGTATAATCCTAATAATCGCTAAAGAGCATGTAGTTGATTCTACGCAATATGGTACGCAAAGTCATAGAGAACTAGACTGGGCTCATCTTATCGTAAAGATGAAAATCCAAGTCAAACAAACAAACAATTGCCAGACCCCAAGATACTGTTAGTTCTTTGTGTGTTAAGAAACTTATGTAGCTGTCATATTTTTTTTTAATTAATTAGACGGTAGTCAGCACAATACCAACACATTTTTTTTCTTTCTTACAGCTAAAATCGAGAAGCAGGAAATCAAATGTTCACCGATGTCGACATGCAAGAGAATTTAATACACACAATCGTATATGTACATGATAACAATTATTAAAATTTGCAATAGCTAAAGTCTGTGGGCATGATTTTCGTAATATCACAAACGTTAAATTTTTTAGTAACTCAATAAGGCATTTGAATTCTCGTAGCGGAACTGCACTTCGTGTATTATTTATTTAGTAAAAATCGGTGGGTACCTAAAGGATCTATTTGTAAATAAGACATGTGTAACCAGAATAGCAAAAATTCCGTAAAATTTTCGGTTTTTAATGATCGGGAAATGACTCTTAGCTGTCTTATTGATTCAATACATATACAATGTGTTACAAAATACTCCCTAAAAATATAATTAATGTACATTATATATAATATAATGTCAGGGAACAAGATTATTTATCAGAAAGGCCTACGTACCTATTTTACTTAATAATTGTCTACTTTAATAGTATTTCTATTTTTCATTCATGTTTGCTGCAAGGATGTCATTATATTCAAGTACTGGCTTAAAAAAATGTCAAGTTGGAAAAAACATGTATGATGTCAATTTCAAATCTTCTAATCGATATCCTACGACTGTTTCGAGTTTTTTTCAAATGTAGGTACATTCTGCGTAGTTGACTTTAATTTTACTGAAATAGGGTTTACACATCAGTGAAAACAATATTTTTGGGATATTATGTCATACAGCGTTACTACGGTTCTTAAATATTGTGGCTGGACTCGTTATAAGACCTCATTTAACCTCCTTTCGGATTAACGGGTACTTTTGTAATACCCTGTATATACATATGTTGTTGTGTTAATGTGTAGTGTATTTTTTATATATTTGCGAATACATTAAATATTTGATCTAATACAGGAAGCTAATGCAATTTGCATACTTTACGAGTGCAATGAATGCTAAAAAATTTGAATAGATCTCGTTCCTTTCTCTCTAGTCAAAGAAGTTCCACTTCTGTCACGTATATATATCTACTACGTTATATTATTTAAGTTATAATTTTTTTTTCGTTTAACAAAACATAAATCAAGTTCTTTAAAATAAAAACATTAAGGCAATTAGAACAATTCCGATTTCTAAAATATATTTTTTTATTTCATTGATATTGCGGCTTAGATTTCTTAGCTTTCTTCTGCCCAACTTTATGATTTCCTAAATTTCGAAATGTTTCTAGAAGCCTACCAGTGAACAGAGGTAGCGTTCGGTGCGGGAGATGTGGTGACAGGACCTCCGTAGTTAAAATTAACACCAAGTTAATTCAAAAAAACAACTATGTGGTGAACATCGCGTGCAGTAATATTTCAATAGAGCCGCGTAGGGCATCAACGATAAAATTATAGTTAAAAGGAGTACTAATTGAACACAAGCTATTCCTGATCCATTCGTGTCCTATCTAATAACATATATGATTTTAAGAAACTCCTTATGTAATCTTGTACGTACGTATTTTCAACACACCCCTGTTTCCGATATTTAACAATTTGCTTTTTTATATATATAAGCGACTTCGAAATTACAATTATTACAATAATCAATCAAATAACATTCATAAATCATCATATTATACAAATATTCTTAATTCGAATAACATTTTTATGTAATAGTTATTTATTTCTCAATTTATATTTAATCTTGTTTGTACACAACTAATTTTTATGGACAAATCATAATTATTATATAATATGTTTTATTTTACCTAAATTATCAACATATTGCTGTTTCCCGTCTCATTCCCTCCCTTCTCTTATCTAAAAAAGGGACTTAAATTTGATATTAACGTATTACTAACTAAACTTTTAATATAATTAATAATGTCTTAAAGGATAAGTCTTTTTTTTTTAATTTGTGCATAATCTTAAAACGTGTCGTTTAATAAATGCATTGTGTCCGGTGAGATTATTTTCTTGCAGTCTTGCAGGAGATATTTATATTCGTCTTCAACGCGACCTCGTTTCAACAGATAAACAAGAACGTATTGGTAAGGGAAAACGGGAACATTGTGCCGAGCGAAAAAACGAAGCTTCACCCTCTGAATGATGTTCATATCGACGAAACAGTAGTCTGCCGTGCAGCAGCTGCCTGGGGTCCTACAAATAATAAATGTACACTTGCAATTTTCCTCAAAAACATATTTTCAAACAAACATAATACATGATACTCTTTGGTGGCACACTATGTTGTCCATGGGCTTTGGTAATATAGAATACATAAGACTTTTTGTAATATGTGGCTTTAACACTTAGCAATCAATATATTTCTATCTGCTATCAAGAATTAACAATAAACAACCATTTTTCATATACTCTCACAGTTAACTAGTTAATAACATACAGTTAACTATTATGTACTATACACGACAATATGATCATGTGTAAAATTTCAGAAGAAATAATTAGGAAAATAGAAGTATGTATTAATTTAACTCGTCTAATCTATTTCAATAAAATATATAAATGAAATTTACCTAGGATCGTAAGTGATTGGTTTTGCTTTCAGCGTTTTGAATATCATTTGGTAATATTGTCTGTACTTCTTCTTCATGATAAGAACAACTTGTTTTCCTTCGAATGGAAATCTCGCATCAAGATTCTGCAGTTCTAAATGCCAGTAGACAGCGGCTCTTGCAACCTCCACGCTTGTGCTATCGATTTCTAATATTTTCGGGTGTTTCATCCATTCATAGAGAGATTCCTGTTCAAAATGTTGTTCTGATATCAATGTTCTTATAAAAACACGTGGAAGTGTTAGTTGGTATGAGTCTTCTTGTCATACTCATTTTATTCTTTCCTTAACTCATTTTAATAAATAAAATTTTGCTTAGTTATTGTGGTAAAAACTTATTTTATATAAAATAACAAAGGGACATCACACTTTTTTTTATTGTTTCAGAGTAGCTTTAAGCACATCAAGAAAAAGAAAATATATCATGAATACAATTTAAAAAAAGTAAAATAGTGGTGATCTTATAGCTTAAGATACAATTTTCTAGACAACCATTGAAGGAAAATATGAACAGAGTTCAATTACTCAATAATATTTAACATTAACAAATAAACTATTTATAATGTTAATTTGATGAAAACCTCACATTAATATAAAACTAGACGATGTTTTTTTTTTGATAACGCCATCTTGTTGTGTCTTTAAAGCGGTTAGTTGCCCTCAATTAAGAAAAATAGTATTATTATTCGCCAATAGATGTCGGGAAGAGTTGATTATTGAAAACACGAATAAAACAACATTTTCTGAAAATAAATCGTAGCTAGATCGATTTATCGCCCCCGAAATCCCCTGTATACTAAATTTTATGAAAATCGTTGGAGCCGTTTCCAAGATTCAGATTATATAATTATAACTAGTCAGGTCATAAGTATTGTCACACAGTAAAAACTTTTCTTTTAGAATGCTGGCCACAAAAAAGTTTATTGAATTCGAATTTCGAATTGTATGAAAATAAAAATGTATACTTTTAGAATTTTACTCATTTTTAAATATGGAGTGGACGCTTAAAGAAGACCGTGTTGCAGTTATTGCGTTGCATCGTTGCGGTTACGCGCCAATTCAAATTTTTAACATACTGAAAAATTTGAATATAACCAAAAGATTCGTTTATCGTACCATCAAACGATACAATGAAGACTCTAGTGTAGATGACAGGTCAAGAAGTGGTCGCCCTCGGTCTGTTAGGACTCCAGCAGTGATAAAAGCTGTGAAGGCGCGAATTCAAAGAAATCCCAAACGTAAGCAGAAACTGTTGGCCCTTCAGATGGGGTTAAGCAGAACCACGGTGAAAAGGGTGTTAAATGAAGACTTAGGGCTTCGGGCATATCGAAGAAAAACAGGACATCGTTTGAATGCTCGTCTAATGGACCTGAGACTGAAGAGATGCCGCGCTTTGTTGAAGCGGTACGCGGGAAAAAAATATCGGGAAATTCTTTTTTCGGATGAAAAAATTTTTACCGTAGAAGAGAGCTACAACAAACAAAATGATAAGGTGTACGCACACAGTAGTGAAGAAGCGAGCAACCGTATTCCGCGTGTCCAACGAGGTCATTTTCCATCCTCGCTCATGGTATGGTTGGGAGTTTCTTATTGGGGCTTAACAGAGGTACATTTTTGTGAGAAAGGTGTAAAAACGAATGCAGTTGTGTATCAAAATACAGTCCTGACGAACCTTGTGGAACCTGTTTCTCATACCATGTTCAATAACAGGCACTGGGTATTCCAACAAGATTCGGCGCCAGCTCATAGAGCGAAGAGCACACAAGACTGGCTGGCGGCGCGTGAAATCGACTTCATCTGGCACGAAGACTGGCCCTCCTCCAGTCCAGATTTGAATCCGTTAGATTACAAGATATGGCAACACTTGGAGGAAAAGGCGTGCTCAAAGCCTCATCCCAATTTGGAGTCACTCAAGACATCCTTGATTAAGGCAGCCGCCGATATTGACATAGACCTTGTTCGTGCGGCGATAGACGACTGGCCGCGCAGATTGAAGGCCTGTATTCAAAATCACGGAGGTCATTTTGAATAAACTTTAGTGTCATAAGAATCTATGTTTTGTTAAGTTCATTTTGGTATATGAAAGGTTACATAATGAATAAACTTGTTTCAATTATTTTACATTAAACATGTGACAGAATTTATGATCTGACTAGGTATATTAGTATACAAGAATTGCTCGTTTAAAGGTATAAGATATAAAAGTACATACATACATACATTATAAAATAGAGAAAGTATTATAATAAAATTAATGAATACAGCATTACTTAAATATAATTTAAAATATATGGAAAATTAACATGGTTCTTATGAGAATATATAAGCAACAACTGAAATGGGCAGATAATTGATCACTTCTGATCTTGGTAATGGGAATGCATTTTCCAATGAGTGAATGAGTGAAAATTTGAAATTCTTTTAAATTTGTATTCAAGATATGAATTGTATTATATTGTATTGATTTCAAGAATGTATTCACATTAGTATTTAGATTAATTTTTAGATTTGTGTATTAAATTGTTTTACCTGCATGAACTTCTTGCATCTAAAGCTGTCGTAGATAAAATTGATGCTAAGTAGCCACTTGCCGGTAGCGAGAGCACAAACCATCATGCCAGTAAATGTATCATTCGGTAACAAACATATAAAGTGAGTTGCTAACATTTCCATTTTAGTGTTTTCCGCAACTACGCCACCTAGTTCGTTTACCATAGCGGTAATCCTTTCACGGTCCTGTAACGTTGAAACATTTATAAAGTGTAATTATGAATATTCATATCAAACCGGACATGCGATTTGAATTCAGAACGAAAGCAGATTAAGAGAGCCCCCTTGTAAATACTGAAAGCATGTTATATTTTCACAGGCTGCCTTTATTATTTATGCCTAATTTTAAGTTCTGCCATCCAATATCAGGTACATAAGTTGTAAGTGGTGAATTAAGTAAATTTCACGATGCGAATGTCGCCACCCTCTTTGAAATTTGAGATCACAATCTGATTGTTTATAATTTTTAATCATCATCATTCTTTCTTCACCCTCTGCTGGGGTGTAGGGCTAATCAAATAATTTTTAATAAATATAATTTAATTAATTTCTTTTATGGTGGATATAATTTAACATGAGTTAGGTAAGTTATTCATTAAACAAAAAGCTGTAGCTGCCTGTGAGATTTGAACAATGTCATAACATTGCTCGATATGAGTACACTTTATCGTTTTGACCATGATAACTTAAACTTATCGTTTCTGATGATTACAGTCGTCACTCTAGATACTGCTTATGGATCCACCTGACCTACACTCGGTGCTATTAGATGCTATTATTTCTAATGGTATTAGCAGACATAGAAATCTGTACTTGTTGAACCAGGTGCTAAATTAATTTGCTGGTCGAGCCCTTAAGCAGAAGCAGTAATACTCTTAAGACAGAAAAGACAGTGAGGTCCTCTCATGTCAAGCCATTAATTATAATAATAAATAGGTATTCTTTACCTTAATTGATTCTGACAACATGAAGACTTTCTTATCACATGCACAAATTAAATTTTGCTTCAATTTCCAAGAATCTTCTGATGCGCCACTGGGTGAATTGTAATCACTGTCTGGAAATTTATATTTCTAATAATGATTTGAAAATAGACAGATGAATGGATTTACAATTATAACATTACCTGAAACAATTTCTGGTAGGCAAGCCTGAATTTTAGTAGCAACCTGAAGTTTCCCTTTAATAGGACTATATGCTGTTGCTTTCTTTTTTAGTTTATAATTTTGTATATATTTTTGAAATGGCAAATGAATTGAAGCTTTTGCCTTGCCATTTTCGACAAGTTTCCGAAAACTAACCTTTTTTGGGGTGCTCTGGCGACTAAAAGTTCTGGAATAAACCAATGGAGTCCTTTTTTAATGTTCCATTACCATATTATGTTATGAGAATTTACATAATATATATTTACAAAATATTAATCTCATTGTTTAATGTATGTACATACACATTCCATAGAGGTAAATATTGAAGAATGGAAGATTATCTTTCTGGAGCAAGGAAGCATCTGTAACCCAAGCATTTTTTATATTAAATGTACAATTAACTAACAACATATTCCCATGTTAGTAGTTTATAATTCCATCCCAAACATGATACATATGAGGCATGCACTGGAACATAGACTCACTCATTCCCCAATTTAGAGAAAAAGTTCTTCAATGGACTTGAGGTCGGTGTCGATTTCTGCTCAGCAGGTTTGAAATCAATTTCTTGATAAATATCTTCGACTGACCAACCAATCTGACGTCGGGCTGACTTGGGCTTGGCTTTACTGTATATAGGGAAATCAACGCAGTCCTCACCATTATCAATGATACTGGTTTTTGGAGAATTGTTGATAAAGTGAGTTATCCTTAAATGTTTTAAATATAGCAGCTTTTCAGTATACATCTCATGGCATATTGGGCATACAAAATGTTGAAGTTTCACATTCATTGTGCACTCATTGATATGTATAACATAATCATCATATTGATCATATTTTTTAGTGCAGAGTACACAAGAAACATTCACAAATGAAGATCGAGGTGAAGTTGGTGTTACTGGTGTTGAAGATATGTTCTGTGTGCAATCATTAGCTATTAAAGTTTCATCGCTGCATGACCTTTGTAAGTCGTTTTGTTCAATTGTGCAGGTTGTTTTACATGTGTGCATACCCTTGGTGCTGTATGACTGACTGCACCCAACGCATTTTATAGAATCAACATCACTATCATCTGTTTCATCGCTGATTTCATGATGCTTAGTTAGTGGTTGGTCTGAACTAGTATTAATGAAACCATTATCTTCATTGTCATCTTTTAGATCATTAAGCTCAGTATGAATGTGGAACTCTTGGTTGAAAAAATCATCATAATTTGCATTTGGAGGTGACTTGATATTGACGTCTGAATAAATAAAAATAAAATTGAATTTTTTTACAATATCATTTTGGTTTTGGTATAATAAAATTTGGATAAATATTAATTACTTATTGAAAGTTCACTCTCACATTAATAAATTTAAGCTTTCATGTGGGAATAACTTTATCCGTTATTCACATATTACTTTTGTTACTTCTCTTAATTATAATGACATATAATCTATAGGGTATTTTGAGACTTATGTGTTCATATACAAACTTGCAAGTAAAATATTTTATATAACAATATCAGTTATTTATTTATGTAATATTTTAGATATTTTGTATTTATTGGTAACCAATACAATAATGACAACCATGACCATAATATGTGAAACACACCTGGAGACTTCCTTAGCAAGTAATCTATCCGTTCACATTGTTGCTTAAACAAGTAAGCAGTGCTTAAATTCTCAATACATGAAGTACATACGCGGTCTGATAGTCCATCACCTTCGTGTATCTGAAAATGTATTTTTTATTACTCATTATAAATTTTACTGTAGCCAATCACTACTGTGTACAGTTGATCAAATTAATGAACCAACTGAGTTTCTTGCCGGACCTTCTTACTGGGTCGAGATTCCGACCCGGTTGTAGATTCTGAAAAGCACTACTCTTACTAGGGCTAGTGTTAACAAATTCTCTCAGGTTGAGCCCGTGAGCCCGTCAGGCCTCACCCAATAGATAAGGGATAAAATAAAGTTAACTTTTTGTTATGCTTAAATACAGTTATTTGTGATATCCATTTGTTTACAAATTTATTAGAAGATGCTACATTAATACTTACTTGCACATTAGCAAAGGACATAACCATTTCAGATAATTTAACAGATTCGTCCTGATCAAATATGGAACAGAATTCACCAAGTTTTAAGCATAAACGGCATTTTTGAAAACAAGCACTCATTTCGGTGGCGTCGTTTTTATATACGGTACCTTCCTGCATAGCTACCTATTTAATTTGAATTTTATCAAAATTTTTTTTTTTTTAAGAGATTTTATGACCTGGTTACTAAGACCTTTAAGTCATGTCTTATTTTACTTTACATTCTTAATTTTATGAAAAATGATAATATGGAGTGAAATGAAATGAAGATGATTAATCAAAATTTGAATAGCGTTAAACATAGATAAAACACCTAAGGTGATATAATCTATGGTGATCAGTGTATAATTATTATTTAGGGGACTTTTTGGCGGGAACGCGAGGAGTGAAGTTGTGTGATTTGTTTTATTTTGTCTATTTAGTGTTTCTTCAGGTTTAAATGTGTAATAATGGTGGTTTATTAACTGTTTAATATCTGTGAAAGTGCACAAATGTGGGAAAATGAAACAAAGCTGCTGGACGTAACTTCTCAGGTTCCTCCAAAAAGTCCACTGAAAAAATCTCAGTAAATGACCACCATTTTACTGCGATTATATTTCATCCCATATCATTTCATTTCATTAAATTTCATCCCAGTTGATTAATGTCTCAAATTAATCATCTTCATTTCATTTCACTCCATATTATCATTTTTCATAAAATTAAGAATATAAAGTAAAATAAGACATGACTTAAAGGTCTCAGTTACCAGGTCATAAAATCTCTTAAAAAAAAGAGTCAAAGTTAGGACTTTTTGGCGGGAACGCGAGGAGTGAAGTTGTGTGATTTGTTTTATTTTGTCTATTTAGTGTTTCTTCAGGTTTAAATGTGTAATAATGGTGGTTTATTAACTGTTTAATATCTGTGAAAGTGCACAAATGTGGGAAAATGAAACAAAGCTGCTGGACGTAACTTCTCGGGTTCCTCCAAAAAGTCCACTGAAAAAATCTCAGTAAATGTCCACCATTTTACTGCGATTATATTTCATCCCATATCATCTCATTTCATTAAATTTCATCCCAGTTGATTAATGTCTCAAATTAATCATCTTCATTTCATTTCACTCCATATTATCATTTTTCATAAAATTAAGAATATAAAGTAAAATAAGACATGACTTAAAGGTCTTAGTTACCAGGTCATAAAATCTCTTAAAAAAATAATAATATTATTTTGACTTTTTGGCGGGAGCGCGAGGAGTGAAGTTGTGTGATTTGTTTTATTTTGTCTATATAGTGTTTCTTCAGGTTTAAATGTGTAATAACGGTGGTTTATTATCTGTTTAATATCTTTGAAAGTGCACAAATGTCAGAAAATCAAACAAAGCCGCTGAACGTATCTTCTCGGGATCCTCCAAAAAGTCCACTGAAAAAGTCTCAGTAAATAACCACATTTTACTGAGATTATATTTCATACCATATCATCTCATTTTACTTAATTTCATGCCATGTTTCATATTAATCAACTTAATTTCATTTCACTTCATATTATCATTTTTCATAAAAAATAAGAATTACAATAAGACATGACCTAAAGGTCTTAGGTACCAGGTCATAAAATCTCTTAAATATATATATATATGTCGTGGATAACGACTTTTAGTTGTCGTGGATAACGACTTTTAGTAATATTAAGACGGTGGTTTTGATTATTATTTTAAATGATGAAATGTTGTTTTGATAAATATCACAAAATGAAGGGTAGACTCCGTAACGCCACAGTATAAAATGGCGGTACGTGGACAGAGTCGTGGCATTCCGTGTCAGACAGTAATTCCGTCCGTCTTAGTCAGTGAGTCTGTCAGTCAGTCAGTCGGTCAGTCGGTCCGTCGGCATGTGCAACGAAACTGTCGGTTTACCTTGTCATTGTGAAAGTTGTGTGTGTTGAGTTTCAATAATTATTATTCAAAAAGGTTTTATTGACTTTTTATAAACTGTGTTCAATCAAATACGAGTGATGACGGAACCTACCGCTCAGCCATCCCTGATGTGTGCCGACATATATATATATTGTCATGAGGAAATAATCGGACTTCCGCTCTCTACTGTGGATGGGGGGCGGGGCATGTCGGAGTTGAACCGACTAAAACCTCCTGTCGCTCAATAACCAGCATCCAAACCTCGCATGAGACAAAACTCATGAAAAGGCAAAGGGGGAAAGTGAAACGCTTAGTGCGGAGCGCATCTCGCCCATCACCCTCCCCCTCGGGATGCGAGACCAGTGGTCGTCGGCACCACGACCACCAGCCCTCTCGGTCGGCAGGCTATCCGAAGCTCACCTAGATGGTGCCGGTTAGAATGTCTATCCTACGGAATGCCCCGCTGGATCAAAACCAGCGTGGATTGAGGATAACCAGCCTTCCATCACCCGGATGCTCTTGGATAAAACGCGTGCAGAGCAGCTTGCATGTCGTCTTCTTAGGCCCCCTTCGCCGGTCCCCAGGCCGACATGTGAGGGAGACCCGAAACACTTGGAGAGCCAGGGCTTGGGCGACATCCACCCCCTGGGCCCCGTTCGACGGCGGCGGGCCTGTGCGTCTCTCACGCGCCCCGCCGTCTCCTTCTGCGAGATGGTGCACTCGCAGAAGTCGAGCATCGCCTTCCACGACCCGTCGTCGCCGAGCATCGATGCCACAACACTCGGCAACGACAAGTCGTTTCCTATTTTTGCGACGAGGACACGGCGCCATCCCTCCCATGAGGGGCAGGCGACGAGCGTGTGCTCCACCGTGTCCAAGTGGCAACCACAATGGTGGCACTCTGCCATTGGCTCTGCTCCGATCCGGTGCAGGAACTCACCGAAGCAACCATGCCCAGTGAGCACCTGCGTGAGCCGGAAAGTGAGGCGTCCTCTGTCACGATTCACCCAATTCACAAGAACCGGGTGAATCGCCTCGACGGCCCTAGGACCAATCGTCATTCCTTGTGACTTCCTCTCTAAAATCACTTAATTATTAAATATTTAACGAATTTACAATAGTGTTTTACTCACTGCGGAATAAAACTATTTTATTTAAATAGTTCCGAAGAGATTTTGTCGGTAGCCTTTTTCCTGAAATATCTAAACAGAATGTCTAAATATGTTTTGATGACATATTTTAAAGAGGTATTTATGATTAGTGTCATGATCAATAGATTCCGACCGAAAAATGGTTTCCGATTTTTCGGATGAGGGCTCCATANAAACAGAGTGAGGGCCAGCTCCAACAGTATCCTGAGCATGATCGCAAGCAGGCTGGACTGTATATACATGGGTCGCTGTGGTGCCATCTCCCATGGGATGTTACCACAGTAATTCATTGTGATGTAAATATAACTACTATTAACAATTTATATGAGTCATGGATACTTGAAATAAAAACATTATTATTATTATTATTATAACCTAAAACGGCATACAAAAACATTGAAACTAACTGCATTTGCTGATTTTAATGATTATTATATAATATGTTTATATTGTGCATATTTTATCTATTTTTGTTCACCTTATAATTACTGACTTATTTAATTTAACACTTTGATTTGAATAGTGACATTTTATTTGCAGTAAATATGAAAACTTCTGACTAGGTTAATATGTTGTCGATCCAAGAATTATAAAGTCACAATAGTAATAATCGTAAATATCTTACCTATAAATGGTTAATAATAATAATAATATGTAGGGTAATAAAAATCATAAGACAACACTTATGTTTCGTTAGCTTTGTTGACGTTGAATTTACGGTAGGCAGCGGCTTGGCTCTGCCCCTGGCATTGCTGAAGTCCATGGGCGACGGTAACCACTCACCATCAGGTGGGCCGTATGCTCGTCTGCCTACAAGGGCTATAAAAAAAAAGAATAAACGAAACATAGAAAGGGTGAAAGGTATTTGGTTTAAGCGGCATTTTTGCAACTTTACAGGAGAGCTATTTAAAGTTTATAATTTGGAAAAAATATCTTAACCAAAAAAAAAACTTTTTCAGCTATTTTAATGGAATAAACCTAATTGAAGCTTAATTAAAAACATCGAACTGTTGATGTACCTTTAATTACTAAGATAAATGTCGCGTGTTAAGCGAAATGGCGTTTAAACCAAATAACCAAACCTCCCTCCCTCCCCGAACTCTGTAATTTTTTTTAAAAACGGAAAGATCACATCCTTTTATTATATTTAAGCCTGCAAGACCTGTGCCGCCAAAACATTTTTATTATGTGTAAAAATAAATTTTAGCATAATAGGGCGTATTAAAATATAGACCTAATTTTATAAAAGTTTCAAAGTTTAAATTTATTCACGGTATCTTAAGTTTTAGGGACATTGCGGAGAAGTATCGTAAGTGAATTCTGTATTAGTGGATAATTTTAAGATCAACTAACGAAATAAATTTTAGACATTCAAGAATAACGTATTATTAACGCTAACACGTTAAGATTTTTCTGTTGTTATTTCATTAATGAATCAATCGTGAACATAACGTTGTCTCTGGTAAAGATGCTACTGTGAAGTAATAATTACCATCATACTTTTTAAACTAAAGCGGCCGTTGCCTATTTAAGTTGTTGTCTCTACACCGTCAATTTTGTTATTTAAGATTTATGTATGTATGTAATTTGTAGTTTTGATGCTTTTAATTTCAATAGTAACTTATATTCCGTTTACGTTAAATCTTCAAGCCTTTTAGAGGAGGTTATACAGAACTTTTGACAGCGGCTTGGCTCTGCCCCTGGCATTGATGATTTTCATGAGCGACGGTAACCACTCAACATCAGGTGGGCCATATGCTAGTCTGCCTACACGGCCAATAAAAAATAAAAAATAAAACTTACGTGCTCCATTTCGAGGGTTAACAGTTGAAATGGAAACTTTAATTTTAGTGGCCAATATGGCTGGGAGCATTGAGTTAACCTCTTTAAAAGACTACGGTGACCAAAGAAACACTAGATCTAGAACTGTCAATCTAAACCAGAAGAAATAATTTGAATTTGTTTTCTGAATGTGACCAGAATCTGTTCTTCGTGAGTAAAGCTTATTGACATTGTAAATTGGTCGCGTTAAG